CAAAGCAGCAGCTTGGATGCAGAGGAAAGCAGAAGGTATGGACATGGCACGAGCCACATCAGCAACCCAAGACAGCATGGGACAGTATATCAAGAAACTCACCGGATGCCCTTCACTAGACAAGCTCAGTAGTAAGTCGGTTAGAGTTTGGGACCCGACATGCTCGCGTCTGGACATAACATCCTCATGTCTATCAGACGGAGAAGTTCCATCGTCGAATCCGTCAGAAAAAGAGGCATAGGCTAATCCCTCGATAGAAGGAAAACTCTTGATTTTCCGTTGGCCATGGATGGTGGTGGCAAAAGTCACGCGTGCACCAGCCTGTATCAGGAGCTTGGCTAGTTGGAGAGTGGGGTTTATGTGGCTTTGGTAAGGTTGCAAGGAGGAAGTGGAGATCATCCGAATTCATTGCTTTCGGTCTCGGGCAAAAGAGTCATGACAGGTTTACTGTATATATGCTTTTTTTACCGCCCAATACAGACACTGATCGAGCAGTTGCGGGTGGATTAACTATGAACAAATTACATTCGGAATTTTTTTTGGCTACTTTTCATTGGTTGTTCTATAAGCATGACTATTGGTTAGGTATATGAATTTATTGGGTTTATGATGTTTACTAGTAACAAGTAGTACTATAACACTGTCCAAGCCAGCCTCTGCTTTCGCAGGAAATTGCCAACCGTCAAGATCCCAGTCAGGAATTGGTTTTGAGTGATAAATCAATATTGTCATGATTGTATATATCTCTAAACACAGAGACATGGCCACTATCTTAGACTGTCGTCACCAATAGCTTTTACTTTTATGCTTATTCCCTTGTCCCTATTCTTTCCGATTAACCCACGGCCGGCTTTCCCTTCTTTAATACTTCAAAATAGGATTCTTACATGTTTAATTACTTAATTTGAATAAGAGAGAGTTAGAGTGTATTAAAAGCAATAAGAAGAAATTGAATTTAAAGTGGAAAATTGCTTTTAACTCTAAATTCCCTGATTAACTGATTGAGATTAGTCCAAATAGAAAAGGAGGAGACTATGTTTGGGACCCAATCAATGAAAAAGCAGTCGACATGATTAGAGGAGAAGCCATTTTTATACAAAACATTGGCCTGACTAGATTCCATTTTCACCAGGTCGCTGTGACCTTCAAGCAATCTTTGACTTGAATCCAAGGTCGATGCTACTTCTTGAATAATTAGAATGTCAAGGATGCTCTTTCTAGTTATATTCGTTCAAAAGGCCAGTGCTTTTGTAAAAGTTAAATTGATTGTAACTGTCTTTAACCATTTTGGTTGTTGATTTAGGCAGAAAACGTGCCTTGCGTTTTGTATGAGAGCAAACAAGGCATATAACATGCCAAAAAGGAAAAGGACAGAAAGCAATTTAACAAACATAGGATAGGAAATTGGCTTGAAGATGACATAGAGGAGAAAGAGAAAGAGTGAAATAATTGAGACAGATTGATCAATAATGGGTCCCAAAAGGAAATGTGAAAGATGAAACTAGTGCAATCCAAGCACCACAGAAAGAACGAAAAAGGCAGGGAAAAAATCAAAGTTTGCATATGCTCTCAATCTATCTGATATATATGTCCTTTTATCTTTTTCCCTGCATTGACCTCGAAGCTTCCTTGTGGGAAACCATTTTCATCAGTCATTCGTATGGTAAAGCAATGAGCAACGTGTTCAGAGATTTTGTACTCATCTCACCATTTCATATTTGAAATTGGATCGAAATTTCCATGACATAATGGAAAAAGCTTTACCTTAAACTCATTGGATTGAAAAGGAATATCACATGTTAAGAAGAATTCAAAGCATTTGGAGCCAGAAAATTTGACAGAATTGAAATGGTTTAGGTTTCAGTCCTTCAAATCTATGTGTTTCTGGTTGATCCTGTAGGCAAACATGCACGACACCCTACCTAGAAAGAGAAAGTCATTGGGATTTGACAGTTAACTAGTTAGAAATGCAACGGTATAATTAAAAAAATAATGAAAGAATTTAAGAATCTTTGCTCCCTAGTGACTACGATTGACCACATCTGTATCCTAGCTTTGTTTAGCAGCCACAAATCCCATAATTATTTCATGTTTATAAAGTTTATATTTAAAATAATTACACTCTTAATTATAAAAAAAGATGTAAGAGACTGTTGGCTAGTCAATCTTGGTCTTGTTAGCATCCTTTGCTTTTGGCTTTTCTCTGTCTGTATAAAGCTCAATGCCATAATCCTCCCTCCTCCACTCGGCCTGCTTCAACTCTCTTTTCATATCTCTATCTTCCAGGCAATCTGTCTTTCTCTCTAAACAAGGGAATATGGGTATTTGTGCATCTTCTCAGGACGTGACAAAGGGTGGCAACCTCAGCTGGCCGTCACCCACAACCAAAATCATTTACCCGGATGGCAGGATTCAAGAATTCAGGCAACCCATCAAGGCCAGCGTTGTTCCCTCCCAGAATCCTTGTTCCCTCCCAGAATCCAAACTCTTACCTTTGCAACTCGGAGCTGATGTATGTAAACTCACGCCCGCCTCACGTTCCTGACGATGAAGAACTCCAACTGGATCAAATTTATTTTCTCGTGCCACGGTCTATATCTCAAGCGCCACTTTCTCGTCAAGAGCTAGGCTCACTAGCCATTAAGGCCAGTACAGCTCTAGCTCATTTGGACAAGGTTTACTCTTCACAGAAAATTTTGCATTTCTCGGATAAAAATGGTGCAGGATTCATTGCTGGAACTCAAGGATGTTGTAAAGTTCCCATTGGATTCAATATCATCGGAATCACTTCCCCTGGGAGGTCATGTGGCAACCCAAAAGTTTTCTAAATCCGAAAACTTTCCTCGCAAGTCTGTAAGCAGGCAACATTTTAATGTTGCTAGAGTCCAAATTTAGAAATAATTGGATTCATTGCTGGAATAGTAGCCAAATTCATGACAACACTCAAAAAGGGTTATTAAATCTTTGGAATCGAGAGAGAAGATTACATTAAATATATATATATATATATATATATATATATATATATATATATATATATATATAGCCAGCCTTATCTTGCAGAAGCAAATGTGCTGTATATCCTCTGTATGTTCTTGCATTTTTATTTCTAATCATTCTTTTCTGTATTTTAAAAGGCAAAGGATCTCTGGTGCAGTCCATGTGATCTAATCAAGGGCAAATACCACCCAATGATTTTATTTAATTATTATAAATACTAATATATTATTTTTAAACTGATACTTGCTTATCATGAACACTATCTGATACAAATCTTCTTTAGATTCAGTAACAGCTGCATCATATATATTATATTTGGACTCAACTTAATTGCAATGTGTTGCATGTGACATTTTATGTCATATAGATCAATTGAAAGTGAGAAGGATAATTCAGAAGGGATAAGATCAATAGGAAGACAAGCATCTAGAAAACAAGCCAGGAATGGCAGACAGTAAAATGGAAGAACCAGTCCACTCTTGGCCAGGGCTCACAAAATTTGATGAGTGTCTGCAAGCAGGAGCCAAGAAGGAACTATCTTGTGATTCCTTTTTCAATATTTTTGCTCAAAACAAGTCTGGGTCCTTTTGTCAGAATTCTTAATGATTAACTGAATATTTCTCTGCAATTTATTTAATCAATCTTTTTGCAGGTTGAAGTATTGCTGTCATGAATGAACAGGGAGGGAAACAAAAGGACAGATTGAAAATATCCACTGTAATCTGTATCAAAATGAAAACCAAGCACAGTACTAGCATTCATTTATCAGGATACATATGGCGAAAAACCCTACGGAGGCAAACACATATGAAATTACAGAACTGAGCAATAGCTATGGATGGTATGCTATTTTACATTATTAATACTTCAATCTCAGCCAAAGTAGGAAATTTTCCAAATCAAGAAGCTTCAGAGCAGGCCTTCATTTCCATCTTGATAGCAGCAACCAAACGATCATAAGCTTCACCCCATGCATTTTTCATCTCTGCTGAATACATTTCCGGGACTGCTTCCTTTATGGTTTCCAAAAGAGCAAATTTTGTGACCTGCAAGACATTTGCTAAGATGTCAGAGAAAAAATTTCTGCAACAAATTCTAATAATTTGAATATCTAGTCTTTGACCACATGAAAAGCATACCTCAAAATGTTCATCAACTACTCCATGTTTGAAGTGGACAGCCCCTAGTTTCTTCAAACTCGACTCTCTCACCGTGACTTTGCCTGCTTTGCGGAGTTGAGCTGCAGATTCACATGTCTGCAAGACCAATTCGTGAAGAACCCATCAGTGGAAATTGAGTGTTGAATGGAACTGCTCCTACAATCTTTAGACAGGTGGATGGAATTTCAAGTTTCTAGTTATATCTAGAGTTTAGACTTCTAGACATAGGCCACGCGGTCCAATGCAAATGTCTTACCATAACAAAGACAGACATGGCATGGGGCTTGAGTTTTGGGTTTTGGTCCAGAGGGACATTTGAGTCTCTCAAGAATGAGAACATCTTTTGGGCTGAGGGTGCAATCTCAAAGATCCTGCCCATCCAAGACAAATCAATTTTACTTCAATCCAAAACAAGGGCAAAAAGAAGGGAAAAACACAGAATAACAAGGACAGCTTACTTCAAGAAGAATTTTAGACCCAATTCTGCTGCATTCTTCTTCATTACACTCCATGACTTGACCACCAGAGCTTCTTGCTCTTCTGTGAAAACTTTACCTTCATATGTAGTCATTGCTCTTCGATTCTCGGATTTGAATTGTACTATGGTGCTAATGGCAATCTTGCACAATATTTAAATACCAAATACACCTGGGGATAAGATTAACTCTTCGAGGCATTGGAGAGCCATTTTTGCAAGTCACCATGAGATATCACCTGCTACGACATGTCTCAAAACCAGGGGCTAGCCATGGCTTAGAGAACATTGTTTTGGTTATTTGAATTTCGAGCTTGAGTGACGCAAATGATGGGCTTGACCGGTATGATCAGTCTTAAACTTGAATCTCTCTTCTATACAAATATGTAAAAATTTTGACAAATATGCAGTCTTTGCTTGTAATGGGGTTGACCTCTCGGGAAAAAGGATAATGGCTTATAATGGCTTCAACAGGATTATTATCTTTCTTTATTGCAGAAAATTTATTCGAGATTTGGTTGACCATATGTAAGAATCCCATGAGGCCATGACCTTTTTTTTCAATTAGTGGCATGAATCAAATTCTTCTTTTGACTGCAAATCTTAAAATACTTGTGTAGGTGGCTTGAAAATTGCAAATTTGGACCCGCCAACGCAAAGTATCATTTCCCAATAGAACAACATATTTCATCTTACAGCAAAGAAACAAAGGAAACTGCGTGATTACTAGAATGGACAGCAAGAATTTGTAATGGTCTTCTGACAGTCTGAAGAAACAGAAACTGGCAGGGGTTTTGAAATTGTTCTCTTTGAGCTTTAGTGTTCCAGTGACCATATATGGTTCGGTCAGATCAGTCATTGGAACAGAATGCAGCCGCTCTGTTCTTTATTTGGGGACAGGGATTCACCCCACTGTCTGAACATGCACCAATCATTGAGCTAAATGTTAAAACGCAATGCAGCTGCTTTATTTGAGACATAAAGAACAGTTTCTAAACAATGTTCAGACATAAAGAGCATCAAGTACAGAGGGACTAATGACTTGGAAGTTAATGTTTCTAAACAATTTATCTTCTTTCCTAGAAGAGCAAACCAGAAATCAAGGCAGAAAAGTTTGGCTAGCTTCAAATCAGCCTGAAAACTGCGATGTGTTAATTTTGAGGTAGTTGGCAATATTGCAGATTTGTCTGCAGCATAACAAGTTGCAGGACCTACAGTTAGTCAAAGTACTCTATTTGGAGATAGATGGGAATTAGAACAAAAACATACAAAATTTTATTTGAATTTAAAGGACCAGAGTACAAGACACTTCCAAACTAAACATCTCTCAAAATATCTCTTTTATACAAGGAACTTAAGAAGGAGGATTCATTTCATTTTTAATAGCAGCAGCCAGCTGATCATAGGCTTCTCCCCAAGCATTCTTCATTTCTGTTGACCACATTTCTGGTACTGCTTCCTTAATTGTCTCCAACAATGCAAATTTTGTGACCTACATAATACAGAGAGAATACATTGTCACTGCTAAATGAGCAAATTCACTTCTAAAACTTTTTTGTGTTATATGCTGAGCAGGATCAATGCATTTTGCGGCCTAACTGCACTAATCTTACCTCAAAATGTTCATCAACAACACCATACTTGAAATGGGTGGCACCTAAATCTTTCAGATTGGATTCTCTCACTGTAACTTTGCCTGCCTTTCGAAGTTGGACAGCTGATTCACAGGTCTGCAAAGCAGTACAGATAAATCTTCTGGAGAATAGTTTGATTCACTATACAACTTGGGCAGCTACAAATTTAACAGATGAGGAAAAGGAGATAGTAAAAGATAAGAAAAGAAAGAATCAACTAACCATAACAAAGACAGTTACGGCATGGGGTTTTAGTTTTGGGTTTTGCTCTAGAGGGATATCTGAATCCCTCAAAAATTTGAACAGCTTCTTAGCAGAAGGGGCAATCTCAAAAATCCTGAAGATATTTTCATTCAATAATCACTTGAAATTGGTCTGTTACATCGCACATACTAAATACAGTACAATCTAATCAAGGGAAAGTGAACCATGTAGATTATTAACCTCAAGAAGAATTTAAGACCAAGTTCACCAGCATTTTTCTTCATCGAATTCCATGATTTGACAACCAAAGCTTCTTGTTCTTCAGTAAATGCCCTCACTTTGAATCCTCCATCTATCTTCACACCTTATTATATACATAAAATAACATGTGAAAACCAAAAGATATCCTTTGCCAAGCCAGTGGAATGAAAAAAAAAAAAAAAGGAAGAGAAAGAAAATTACTTCTGATTGATTTTGGAGTTTTACAAACAAGATCAGGCCATGATCCATCTCTCTTGACCCATGACAACTCCAGGAAGTGATGATGCTTGAGTTTTGACCCGTAGTTTGCATTCAAACAAATGTTGGGGATATACCTTCCATCTCGCATGCTGATGCCAGCTGCAGGGGTAAAAAGCGATAATTAGAGAAACAGTAAACGCACTGAATGTAACGAACGATAGGAGAGGAAGGATACTGACCATCAGAGAAACGAATGGTAGCAGCTTTCGAAGCTGAAGTGGTGACTGTCATGGGATTCATCTGTAAGAATTGAAGAAGATGTTTGGAGTTTGGACACTACGGAGCCGCAAGAGTTAGACAATATAGGCATGTAGCCATTACCAGGTGGTTTCCTTTCTTCGCTTTCTCGTAGAAGTGGAACACAACTTGGCTTACAATTGGACAAAAAGACTTAACCTTTCATTGCCAGAAAGAGCCAACAACATTGTTTACTTCGTTTTATTTTAGTGGTAGTATTTTTATTCGTTGCACCATTCATGTCCTGAAACAATGAACTTTTTCTCCGCGTGGACAGTAGGCTTTGAACACGGACGTCTTAGTGCGGAGTGGTTAAATACCAAGACAAATTCGCAATCCAACCGTAGGGGCTACATTCATGGGAGGTCTCATCCTACAGAGTGTTATGTGCTTCTAAATTCGATATCATGGTAAACATTTTAATAAATAAAATCGGCTTCAATATCACATCAAATGCTTTGATAAATAAAATAAATAGAATGATTGATCGATTCTTAAAAGAGACGCCATACGCATTTTAATGATTGAAACAGGACGTCACAAGATGAAAGATGTCATGCTTTTTAGCAATATCGAGCCTTGATCATAAAAGCAAATATACATTGTAATTCTGAATTGCAGATTTCTCGCATTTTTACATCCCATCTTTATCCCATTTTACAAGAGCATAAACCTAACCTCATTTAGAACTAGGGAAAATCACAAAAACCAACAGCCGCTGAAGTAAGCTTCATTACACCTTGTAGCAACATAAGTAAAGTTATACACACAATGGGGAGTAATATCAAATTAACCGCACCCATAGTTTACATCTGGCTTTGCAACAATTGATTCAAATGGTACTTCAATCCTCTCTTTCACCATGCATCTAGCTTCCCCATCCTCCATCACCAGGACTTTCCCAGGTGGACATTGAACGGTGGAATTCTTCTCTTCAGTTGCACGTTGCTGAAGCATGCCCAAGAACTTGAGAGGAGTACCTTTCCCAAGGTTTGGCACAAAATTGGACAAGCTTAATATGTATATTACACCAACCAGGGGAAGCACTGTCTTCACTGCTGAACTTATGAAGCAGCCCAACCCTTTCCTTGAGTTCTTAGAAACGTCTTGCTTTCTGCTCTCCTCGTTTCTGTTAAGGTTCTTCTTTGCTTCATTTGTTTGGTCACCAATGGAAACCCCATTTGTCAAAGACTTGTATGTTGACTGTAAGTGTGACAAATAACCATTATCCAAAACCAATGATCGTGGGGGGGGACTTGGATATGGAGGAAGGAGGAGATCATTGTTGTTCTCCACTGTTTCACTAACAAAAGCAGAAGCCTCAAGAATCACTTCCAAGTCCTTCCCTTGATATTCTTTGAGCTTCTCCAAGAGCATTGTCCGGCTACAATCAATTTCAGCAATGGCAACTTCCTTTTCATACCGTTGCTGATGTTGCAGATTCTGATAAATTGAACCATTCAAATTATAAGGATACCGACTTTTGTTAATTTTTAAGAAGATATCTTATCAACAAAAACATCTATTTTGTAGGTATACAATTTTCATGCATGCAAAGACATAATGAATACAGTTCAATTAATTCGCATAGCATCCACTGAGTCTAGTGAGAAAAGGAAAAGACTAACCAATGCTTCAAATTCTTGGGAGTTAAACTCTTCTTCAAGTAACATCATATAGAAAACGAGTTACTCTGCCCCCTTTTGAGAAAAACATGCAAAAGAAAATGTCTATATGGCTAAAGCTTAAATGTCCTGATTCTTGAAATTGACCAAATGGTCATGTAGCCACACTAAAACAGAATGACCTTTATGTTAAATGAGAGTTTCCATACTTCTCTTCACACCTAACCCTGTATAAACTAATTGATAGGAGAATTGCTTTCACAAATTCTTTCTAATTTCTAAACTTCCAGCACTGAAATAATGTCCACAAAACCATTGTTGTTACATAAATGCAGTCTCATAAAGAAATGCCAAAAGCAAAGGCAGGTAGTAAATGAAGTATAATCATATAACTATAACAGCTTTTTGCAATGCTGAGTACTCATAAACTACCTCCAATTTCCCTAACCTAGTCTCCAAAGCTTTTCTTAAAGTTACCAAAAAGGCAAAGTCTATAGCAATGCTGATGGTGTTGTTCAAATGGTAAGTACTAGTCTGTGAAATTAATCACAGTATAATCAAGCAACCACTATCAAAAGAATACGATTGGGGAAAGTTGTATAAGCTGGAAATGATTCAATTCATTCAGCTACAGAAACTCATATTGATGAACTGTTATTCAAAAACAAAAAATTTGATGAACTCTGAAGCTATTTGTTTAGTTTTACTATATCTAGGCAATCTAAAGCCACAAAGAAAAAAAACAAACATCTTCCTTCCTTTTCAAATTACTTCTAATGAGAATCTAAAAAGTACACTTAATTAAACAAAAAACTGGACCGTTGGTACTAAATCTATGAACAGGCAGAAACAAAAATACAAAAGAAACAAAGATTAATCTCTGATCCCAAAAAAATGCAATCCAAACCATACTCCAAAATGCACTTAATTCAGTCAGAAAAAAGAAATGCATCTCAAAGAATCACCATTAACCATTCCTCATTATAGCTAATGCATTGAGAAAAAAACAAAAGGGCCCAGCTTTACCCCAAAGATTTGTTATTTATATTACAACTTAAAATTGGGATTTTATGAGTAATTTCCTTTTAGTTTCACATACTTTCTTGCATACATGTCAATAACAATATTAAAAAAATGAAATAAATTCAGGGTCTTTCAAGGTTTATAACCAAAAAAAAAAACTACTACTAATATTTAACACAATGGGGAGGGAAAAAGTTAAGATTTTTGAGGAGAGAAACCTGTAGAGCAACGAGCTGGGCCTCAAGGGATTCAAGGGCATCTCGAATGTTCAAGAGCCTCTCAGTTTCTCCATCTTCTTCTTCTTCTTCTTCTTCTTCTTTTCCCTCCTCTTCTTCTTCTGCTTCTTCAACTGCTTCATTGAGTCTTTGATGAGAATCAGGGATTTCGTCTCCATTAAAGCTACCTTTTTTATCTGTTTGTTCCCCTTCTTCTTTTTGTGGGCTTTGTTGTTTTGGAGAAACAGGCTTGCTGGCGGTGGCTTTTTGGATGCAATTGCTGATTTTCAATCTCAGCTCCGTAGCTCTTGCTAACACTAACCCTACTCCCTCTTCTTCCATTCTCTCTCTCTCTCTCTCTCTCTCCCCCTTTTTCCTTTTTTCTAGTTATTTATTTATTTTATTGTCCACAAGTCAAAATTACAAACTATTTCAATATCTTAAATGAAAAGGAAAAAGAGAGATGGACGTGGGAATTGTTTGTTATGGCCAAAGGGTGGGGTTGGAAAAGTAAGACAGAGAGAGACAGAGAGAGACAGAAGAAGATGGAGAGGAAGTGCCAAAAAAGCCTTTGGGCTCTGATGTATACAACACTTGTGACTCTGGTGAGCTTTTTGGTCAGCAAATGGATGGGGTTGGAGTTTGGGTTTTTTCTTTTGGAGTTTAATAAGGCCAAGAAAATGACCTGATCAAGCCCAAAGCCTCAATTGCAATCGAACGACCAAACTCTAACCCGTATATTTTTGGCAAAACAAGATTATGTGGGCTCAGGGTACCTATGGTTCACGTGGTGTTGCATGTGCAATAATGGAAGTAGCCATTATCTGTTTCTTTTCCCATTTTTTTTTAAAAAAAAATTCAGATATTTTAGAATTGGATTTAGATAATAAAATTGCTAGTAATCAGATGTTTTGGTTAAATTTTTAATAAACATTACTATGCTTTAGTTATAGTGATTAAGAAATAGCCTAGTGTGAATGTGAACTAAGATAAAAAATTGTAATGATAAAAATTAACAAGATAATTTCAGTTATATTATAACATTATACACAAAATTCAAACAGGGATTCCCTCCTGTCTCTTGATTCTGTCATTTAGTTGCTTGCACATGATGAATAACTCAAAGACAATTAGGAATGACAGCCATATCACACCCTTGTCAATGGAGATATTAGTGATCAAACAGGATCAAGAGTTGAAGACTGAAGCCACAGGCTTTCTATTGAAGTTGGCAGTTATGATTTATCTGTCATTCGAAACCTGCAAAGCAGCAGGATCTCAGGCATTTAAACGGGGCTAGAGATCATATGACTAAGCTAATTTCTTTTGAAAACAGATATCGGAAGGCAAAGTTGTGAGAGATCCACTCAATGCTTTTCCCATTTTTCCTGTTGCAGGACTGCTGAAGGTTCTTCCTCAGGGAATCAGGCATCAATTGCTCAACCATCTGCAGCAGACCAGCTGAGCAAACATCAGAATCTCTTGCAAAATACTCCATAACCTTTGGTAACAGAATTTTCTGTTCTTTGTTGACACTCAAGTTTGACTGGATGTATTCTTCTTTTGCAATTTCCAGTTCCTGGAACACTTTCTTGGGCGTGTATATACGGACCTAGAGAGTCATCAAAGTCAGTGACTATAGTGATAAAAATTGAAAAGTTTTAACTTCTGTAACAGCCTACAGCCACGGAAATATGATCTCAGGGAGGATTTTATTGAAGGGCAAGAGTGTACCGCAGGATCAGAATAACTTCCTGAACAAAGTGCAAAATGTAGAAGAGGTTCTGGGGACTCAATTGCATAAGCTCTTCGAGCATCTACAACCTTAAATTTGGTCTTTGAAGGAAACAAAAACCGTAGCCACTGCAAGCAGATGTAAGATGTTAGTTTTATCAGTGCCAAGACAAATGTGTAACTAAACTATCCTAGCATCATAAACTAAAGCAATTAAGCTGGGATAGTTGATAAGAATTTCTGGGAATGGATGGTACCTGTCCTGGACGAGGCAACCGACATCCTAGAATAGAACTCTGTATCGTGTCTATGCTTATGGTCTGGCCCCCAACGTTATATGCAGCCTGGATCATCCATGGGCTTGTCAATGAAAACATCCATTCCATGATCTTTTGTTAAATTAACCAGAAAACCTCTGCTCACCTTGAGTAACAAGGACAATCTCTTCAGATTGTTTTTTGGAATGCCATAAACCAAAAATGCCTGTAAGAACATAGCAGGTTGAATTTGCTCAAGGGTCTTACTGGAACAAGGTGTAACGAAGATTACATATAATGAAGATTGATATGCGGAAACATTACATGCATCACCAGAGCATTGTGTACATTAATCCAGAAAGCTAGCTTCTCTTCATGTTTCATCCTTCTAACATCAACTTCTTCCAGCTGATAAACAAGTGACCTTTTAAGACAGTAAGATTTTGTGATTCAGTTTCTTGTCAAAGGGACATCAAATGTACATGGGATTGGTAAAGAAGGCTCACCTATAATATTGCAGCTTATGTTCAATATCCTGTAACTTCTTACTATCTCTACAAATCCATTGAACCTTCACCATAGAGCAGTAAGGTCCACTGAATTCCTTGGATTCCCCAATGCTGAAAGGGTTGTCAAAATGTGAGTTGAAGGATGAAAATTTTCCACACTGTGGACTCCACGTATCACCCTGACCTTGTGAAGATGAATTTGAAACAGGAGAAGACAAGGACTCATGGTTAATCAAGGGAGGGTCTGCCAGTTCACAATATATGGCTGAAATGGTCTTGATCATCTCCTCAGAAAGCCAGTTTGGTGTTTCGGGAACATGATGGGAAATGCTGCTCCCGAGATGCTCTGCCAAGCTGCATCCATCTGAAGTACCGATCTGCGCTTGCTGGAAATGGAAAGGAACAAAGAATCAGAAATCATATATCAGAGGGTCTTGTTAACTTTCATTTGCAATCTATTTTAGCTGTCTAATGGCATGTACAATGGAAATGAGTAATTGACATTGATTCAATTTACCTCCAACATGGACAAAGGCAGAGAATGGTACAAGTCTACAGCTTTAGCCACTGCTTTTTGTGGAGAAGTAACTGAATACGCTGATCGCTGAGAGAGTGAGGAGTGGCTCCGATGAATACTAGAATCTAACAGCTTCTCTGTACCCGAAATATCACTGCATTCCTTGGGAGGATTTCCAATTGAATTCCGAGAGGACTCCAGATCACTAGTCTGAGTAGCTAGATTTTCTTTGTCTGACATGTAGGGTGCCTGAACTTCTGGAAACATTTCTTTATGTGCCACTGAGGTTGGTCTCAAAACTTCATCTGTGGTCGTTAAAGACGAGAATCTTTTATTAAAGTTTTTACGGTACAATGAGAGAAGATACTTTTCCAGGTAGGCAACTTCCAGTTCTAAAATTGCTATCTCCTTGATAACTTCCATGGCAGCCTGGAATTACATAGATAAAGTACCAAATTATCAATCAGTTAACAAACTCTTTCTCTGCAAAAACATGGGAACGAATAGCACATGGGATAACAACCCAAGGGAAATGTAGCTAGCTTGAAAATCAGTGAATATGCTGTCTTCAATCATACCCCAGAAAAAAAAAAAAGTTTACCTTGGGGATTAAATTTTCAACTGATACATCATAGGTGAATGGCCTATGACTTAATGCCTTCTCCAATGCACGCCGAACCAAAAACTGGTCCTGCAATCGTTCTTGAAGGTGATGAATCTGCAGAAAAATGAATATGTTTCTGTTGTATCTGATCTTTGTATGCATATCCCAAACCTGGATAAGCTTTGCGAATATCCCACCAAGGTGACTATGGTTGGAAAAAGTTGGGAATATTACCTCTTGCTTCAACGAGTTTTGAACTTCGGTGTTTGAAGTTTGGCTCTTCTTTGCTTCAGCATAGCCCTTTGTCCGTCCCATTTCCTTCTGCAGAACAAAACCAAACAATCAAACAACTAGGACATGCAAGAAACAGGAAGACCAAAGAGAAAAGAAACGATATGCGATTCTTACAGAGGGATTGCCAGCTTCGAAGATTGTGTTTAGCTTGTTCTTCTTGACTTTTTTCTGAAGTGGATCACTGTCAACACAAAAAACAATGTAATCAGCTGATCTTTGCATCTTTTTCATCTCAATAAGAAAGCCTTTCAAGAACTCTTCTACTTTCTGTGCAAGGAGAACCTACTTTCGAGCTTTTTAGATGTTAAGACAGAGCTCAGATTCTCATTCCCAACCAAACCCAGTTTAGAGTGTTGCGTGCGGATATGGTTAAGGGGGATTTACCGGCACAAAACATGCGATATGTTTTTCCAGTTCAAGCAAGACTTCACTCGAAGTACAAAGAAGGGAAAATGGAACAAAACCAGACCAAGTAGAAGAAGAAAACATCAAAGCTACCTGTTGGAACGCTTGTGTCTAGCCTTCAAGAATTCAAAAGGCTTCAGATAGGAACCCCGCCAACTTACTTCAGGCATGGTATGGTTTATTGGGAACCCCCTCAATTGGCTTAGCCTAGGCAGAAACTTCACTGAAACAGCATTAAATGCACATCAGATATTGACAAAGCCTTAACCCGATAAAAAAAAATAGACAAGGCGGAAACATCCAAAGCCCGCATTAATTGCAACAGAATATAGTATAGAAATCTGCTTACACAAGAACACACTCTGATAGAATGAGACCACTCACACAGAAAGTTTTTTGAAAAGCTGAAACAGATTAAACTTGAAACTCAAGGTCCAAATTGATTCTAGCTAATAATTCAAATTAATCAGAGAAGCTATATCGAACAATAATTGTTCTCTTAACATACGGAAAACTACTACTAATCAAGAACAGTGCAAGGTTAAAACATGCATAGGTAGAAGAGCGACACATGAGCTGTATACAATGCCTAAAAGGGTGTCCATTTCTTTGACTAGTCCCTTGTCTTAGAAAGCTATACCACCTTTGAAGCTAGCTTTTTGGAATGGTGGGCTTTTTTATTGCATTGCATTAAAAGGAGTAAATCAGTTTTTGTTGTGCCTTTGTGGCTTTTGATTGAGGACGAATGCTCAAAAAGTTAAACTCAGGGCATTCAAAAAGGACCAGCCAGAAGGGACAAGAAACAAGGAGGTGATGACCAGGGTATATATAGGAATAGTTCATTGGTTTGCATGCGGTTTCAACTGTGTGTACACTTCCTTGTGTTCTCGTGCCATCTCACCACTATTAATTCAAGCAGGAATACAAGAATAAAAATGGAACTTGGGACCCATTTTAGTTTGGTTCAATTCAAATCATCAACGACATTCATGTAACAATTGAATAATTTTCCACCGAATGTTAGAACATAGAACTGAAAAAAATACTGAAATTGCTTCAAAACGTGCAATAATGTTATTGTCTCCACTGATGGTATAGACAAGAGTTACAAGTTATAAACCTTAAGAGATATAATAAAACATGATGATTAATTGTGTTTTGCATTGACGAAATCAATCTATTAAATATTATTGTTGAATGACAAGATGGCTTAGATTTTCATATGATTTTTTACTTTTACATATAGAAGAAATATGAAAATATTAAAAAAAAGAAAAAGGCATAGGTGAGATTGTTCTCAACAAATGCAACTATCTGTTTCAAACAAATATGATTTTAAGTTCAAACATACACAATTGTGTTTTTAACTATTTATTTTTTAACAGACATTGCTTTTTGTTTATTATTGACGAACACTTTTGTAATTAAAAAATAAATTACAATAAATAAATAAAATTTATTATTTAATTATTTGCAAATACACATATCATGTGTATAATGGCAAAGTGCCATTATAATTAAATATTATTAATTTAATTAATTCCAAAAACATCACTTTTATAATTAAAAAATAAATTTAAATAAATAAATAAAAATTATTATTTAATTATGTGCACAGGCACATATCACGTGTCCAATTGCAAAGTGTCATTATAATTAAATATTATTAATTTAATTAATTTCAAAAATATCACTTCTGTAGTTAAAAAATAAAATTAAATAAATATAATTTATTATTTAATTACTTGCGCATGCACATGTGACATGTCTAAGTACCAATGTAAGATCATATCCCACATCTATTATTGTTGAAAATATCCAACATCAAATTCATTGAGCTATATCACTCGCAACATATCTTGTTGACATTGAACATCAATTTTAGCAAATTGATTTACTAATTCATTTACGTCGCGAAAAATTATGTTAGATTGTCACTTACTTAATTGAGATATTACAGTTTTAGTATGCAAAATTCAATTCCTCAACTTTCTTGAGACGGTATTTCCGTATGGAGGTTTAGCACATGATACATCAAATTCTAATATTTTCTAATCTTACTCTTCAATGTTAATTAATCACACACTTAAATAACATTTCTACAGTAAGAAAAGAAAGAAATTAAAGAGATGAGAGAAGTCTAAACAGGGAGATTGCAAACATCAGTACTCCCTTAATGTCGGCATCAGATTCAAATGAAACCAGGATTACTGCAACAACTAATAAGCAGAAGGAACACACATACCTCTTAAACTTACCACTGTTGGATTAGGACTAGCACTTGCTCTCTCTCTTGAATTTGAACTAGCCAGATCATTCATTTTGAACCCTGCTTTTGTTAGCTTTGCGTGCTTTGTGCATGCAAAATGTAGGAAATAATAAGTGCATGAAGGCATGCAGATGATTTCTTGACTGAGCTAGCTTTTATATTAAAAATCTCTTTATTTTCTATTTTTATTTTTTCCAATCATGCCTGCGTCATATCCTATAACACGTACGTGTTGATGGTAGCTAGCTTTGCTACTGTGAGATAATGCTTGGTGCATCGTGCCTTTAAAATAAGCAAAGAGGAAAGGAAAGGAAAGCAAAGCAAGCCCTCAAAAGGGCTGCAAGTTGGGGGGTCAAAGAATAAAAACAATGGATGTTTTTGATATGAAATGACTGCTTTGGTGGGCTTTCCTTTGTCTAATACCTTTAAGGGGAAAACATTAGAATATATACAGCCATGGAAAGACTCCACTTTTCTCGATTCTTTCCCTCAGAAAAAGTTCCTAGCCTTTTCTTTTCATGGGATATGGTGCTACCAATGGAGAAAATATTTCAACATAGATAATTGAAACTTTCAATGCATTAATTGCCACATAATATTACTACGAAGTTTATAATGACATATATATAGTTTGCTTCAAAACATCATTTGTCATATCCATGATCACTTTTGATTCATTTTGCTTCGTTGTCAAAAGATGCTATACTGTTGTTAACGGTCCATAATCGATGGGTTTAATTTCATGAGTTTATATATGATGCAACGTTAGTGTATAAAATTTATATATAAAGCGTTTTAATATAAGTCCTGTTAGCTTTAACTGTTAAGATTAAAATATAGGACATGCATGTACTAATGTATGTAAGAAAGTTGGACCATGTTTTATAATTTAATCTAAATATGTTGATGTATGAAAAGAAGTTTCTGATTTGGTTCAACCCGAAGAGTCAACCTGGAAGAATCCATGAGCTTGGTTCATCAGCAGAGATGCCATCTACCAACTCAGATAAAAACAGGATAAAACATGGAAAGAAACAGGAAAACAACCTCGTTCTTGAGCAAGTCAAGCATCAGTTATCCATGGAAGCTGACAGACATGCTTGTAGTTGAATTAAAAAAGACAAACTGGAGCTCATTTATTGTGTTGTTTTATGCAAAACGAACAAAAATTCCACAAACTTCAAAGACATTTGATTTAGTGCAAATATATATATATGTATATATATATATATAGGTATGGTTGAAAAATGGTGGATCAGAAGATGCCCCATGTCTTCAGGGGTTCAGGATTATATATATACAATTTGTCTAAGGTTCCATGTGCTCTAAATAAGCAATTCATTGGAAGGTCAAGCAATAACTCTAAAAAAATGTATGCAATTTCTTCTCTCAAGGATCAGAAAGTATATTATACACCTTGGCAATGTGATAACACTGCACTATAATTGTCAGAAATGTATGAAATGAACCTTATAACATTTATAAAACATGATTTTTCAAGAGTCAAAACCCCAAAGCAAGCAAAGTTTCTTTCAAGGAAGCAGAATCGAATCTTGAACACTGAGATTTGCAAAGAAAGGAAAAAAACTGATGAGTTCCTTACAATCTTGGGGAGAGAGTCTGAGTAGAAACCCAAGAAGAGAAGCATGAAAAAAAGTGTTACTTTGAACTTTCCAAAGGCTAAACTGAGCAGCTTAGTCAATGCTAATGATAAGAGCAAAAAGTATTTGCTAGTTTCTGAGCTCTTCTTCATATGCTCTTGTCTATTAGATTGAGACAAGAAATCATCTTCTCCATTTTTAAAGATTGATGGACTTCATACTCTTATACATTTATTATGAAATTTAGATGCAAGTGAAGCTTAAAAGTCTGTGTGTGGCCAAAAACAAGAACTCTAAGTTTGTGTGCCTGGGGATTTCAATGGCATGGACTTAATTAGCTACTGCCAAACCTGCTTTAGTTCTTCTATTGATCCAAATCGAGTCCAACATGCATATAAAGAATTAATATTATGGAACCAGAAGAAAGATATGCAAGACTAGTTAAGGTTTCTAAACGATCTGCAAGAAACTTATATTGATTCACCTCATTATCCTTTAGTTTCATCTTATGAGAGCGTTATGACTAATTACATGAGCCTCTTCTATTAAGAACTTGAAAGCTATAGAAGTTCTGCAAAACAAACCTTCGACCGATTACCTTCAGCACAATCCATTAGATTAGAACAACTTCAGTGTGGCAAGATAATAAGTATATAATAATCAGATAGAAAAGGAATTACTTACTAAGATTTGCATAATCATATGGCTGATGCACATTATTAATCTGTATCTTTGCTTTAAAGAGGTCCATTATTGGTAAGCAAGATTCAAGCAGAATGAAAAAGGTGAACTAGTTTGCTCTCTTCTATTTTGCTGCAACTTGACTACTTTCTCTCATGGGTCCAGGAGATGGAATCTTATTCACAAGTTAGATGCCCCAACCTTTAAGAAAGTAAAACTATTGTAATGCTACAATTGACTAAAAAAGAGTATGCAACCTAACAACTATCAAGTAATTTGCCAATAGCCAAGTGCTTGATTTCATTAGTTGGATATACTTTACCTTTCACCAATGGATGTACAACAAGACATCCTCTAGTGGTATTCAAATTAAGTACTATCCTTGGTCCTTGCTCCCTGAATGCTTGATGTTATATTTATACACATGCATCTTTAGTTTTTCAAGGTATGTAAAAGAAAAGGAAGAGAATTGGGGCCCACTTCGTAAAGTTTCAGTTTCTTTATTTTCTTTTGGGTATTTTTTAAGTAATGGCTGCACTATAAGCATATAGGCAAAGCAGATAAATGATGCAAATTAGAAACAAAGCGGTCAAACTACACCTACCCCCCTCCCCTCCGTTCCTTCCCACCCAAACAAAATTCGGTATACAAGAAAAATTATGTACTATCAAAGAATCATGCTATCAAAAAAGCTTGTCAACTTATCTGAGATCTAGCCTTGCGTTTGTGGCCCATATATACAATTCACAAGTTCTTTACGAGTACAGGCAGGGAACAAATTTATATTCTTCAGTATGCTCAATCGCCTGAGCACAAATGGGAAGCTGGTTTGGTCACGCGAGGTAAAACGAACCACTTCATTGAACCAGAGGCACATGAACAGATTCATCAATGGCGTGTGCTCTCTATAACAATAACTAAAGCTGCTGATAGAGCTGAAGAAAACAATATTCTGTTGTATTAGTTGGGGCATGCAATAAGATTATCCAATGACATTTTCCAAGCAACTTTAATGAATCTAAAACCCTGTCTTCATCATCAATTTCTTTATTTTCTTATCAGTTTTTCTTTTAAAACCTTTTGCAATTTACATGAAAGGTTTTTCCAAATAGTAATCAGTAATAAGGCTTGCAAGATAAAACAGTTCTGTAAGTTGTATCTGATATTTAATACTGAACACCTTCCTTTCTCTGGTATCAGCTCCTGTATATTAACAACCTCTACTTCCAGCTCTTAAACCCCAGTCTTGACCACCATCTAACAACAGTTATTCAGCCTAGTACTATCATGGTGCCAAACTTGCATGGTAGATGCAAGTAAGTTTTTGCTGGCGAAGAATATGGTGATTGACAGATTGAGGGATATTGGAAGTTGTAGACGGGGAAACATTGGAACCTATAAGATGATGCTACACATCTCTCAGGTCAGAAACTGTTACCTCTGTGATAATAAGACAGAATTTTGAGACAGCAGACAATAGAGATTTAAACATGAAGAGCTCATGTTTAAATCAAGCAAGCGCTTTGAATAAGAAAGATCAAAAAGATTAAACTATCAAAATCTCCAACCTTATAACTTTGTTCTCTTTGGTGGATTGTTTGATACCCTGTGAACATATTAAACCTTGAAGATTCTGATGGCTGACATATACAGCAAAGTGATATTGCACCAACATAAGATCTCATCAGCCTCTGATATATACACTAATGGTTCAACAGGAAGGTAGGAGTTACCATAAAAGGAATTTCCAGATTCTCCATTTCTTCTTGGGCCAAAAGCTTCAACCAGGAAACAAGACACAATTTTGAGAAAAGACACAATTTTGAGAAAAGACCCAAAGTCATCTTACATCAGAGGATTAAGAAAGACAAAGATAAAAAGAAAAAAGTAACTTACTTTCTTTTGGTTTAGGGTCAACACGACCCATGTTATGATGGGTGAGAGAGAAAACTCTGCAGAGTCCAAAGAGGAGTCAAGCCGAAGAGAGGGAAGAATAAAAGTAGCCTCCAGCGGTTCTTGATGATTACAAGGAAAGGCTCTGATGAGAATCTCGTTTTTCTTTTTGTTACGCAGCCACAAAGGATTGGTGGCGTTCGTTGGCATCGTTTTGCATGAAAATCTTGTAAAACCAGTGTCGTCTGCTCCGCATTTTGGCGGGGTTTGAGGAGGTTCGACGTGTGACGCATTGACGGAGGGTCGAGGCTGTCGGAATCATCGTCGGAGATTAGTATGGATATTGAGGACATCGTTCCCGCCGGGAACGAGAAGAAAATTTGTTCCCGCTTTGGTGGTAGCGTGTGCGGAATTCGGTAGGTAGGAGCTTGGTTTCGTAACAAAACGGCGTCGTTTTCTTATCACTACGAAATAACTGGTACATAACCGATTTAGTACCTTTTTTCATAATTTTATTATTAGAAACTTGGTTTAATAACAAAATGATATCAGAGCAGAATCTGTTCGGAATCTCGTTTACTGTTTTTTTTCATAAGTTTACATCATTTTATGAGCATGCTTTGATCTCTCCAAATTGCTGTTATTAGCACTGCTAGAGATAAAAAAATTTAAGTAAAGATGAATCAAGCTCCATAGGTACTAAAACATGATATAGCCAAAGATAAGCAATTAAATTTATCTTAAAAAGGACCGAGCTTTGCACCACTCCAAGAGTCTCAGGATGAGAATTTACATATGTTCAAAAGCCCAAGATAAGGCTATGTACAGTAATGTGGATTTTCAGTTCACACAACCTAGAAAGATAAAGAACCATGGAATTTCCAGAATTCCTCTTCCAGGATATATCTCTAGAATAGAAAAGGCGCACCAATGTGGAGTTGGGAGGGGGGGAAGCAAAAAGATTCTAAGAAAGGAAAATAATGCATTTGAGTGGTGCTCAATCCCTAAATGATCCAATCCCACTAGGCAAAAACAGGGTAGGGTCTTGAGTTAGATCTGTACACCTGCACTTATCTAAGAAAAGCCTATGAGAGATCAATTCCGGTCAAGAACTTCTGCTGGCAAGTTCAGATCAAAGAATGCACCTCCATAAGTCTCCTTTTTAGGTCGCTTCTGGGATGGGCAACCATTGTCATCTGCACTCCCAAGGCTTATAGGTCGCTCATGTTTGCCTAAATTGCAATGTGTCAGTAAAACCTTCACCACATATGAGCTTTAATAATCATCAAACTATGTGTGCATGTGTGTGTTGATCTCTAACAGTGAAGTCAGCATACCACTAGTGCCACAATCAGAGGGAAGACAAGTATCAGCAGTTGTACTGGCTTTACTGTGCCAACAGACCGCAAGCTCTGATGCTTTTTCAATGCCCTTAGACTTGTATGGAGCTATATTATGGGTATTACATTGGAGAGAGCCCAACAAATCATTCTCAATGCATTCATACCTGCAAGTGATAGTCTCATCACATGAATTTTAAAAAGCCTCATAAAAATCAAGAACTATATTTTATAATACCCATACTTACATTTTCTTGCAAAGGGTATCGATGATCACAGAAAGATTGATTACTTGCATTCGTATCTCCATAACTTTATCATCAGTATATTGATCAAAGGGCTCTTCCAAAAACTTAGAGAGTTTCTCAACATTTGCCTCAAGTTGCTGCTGCTGATCCTCAAATAGATGCTGTTTTATTTCCCTTTCATCATTTGTCATCTCATCCTTGAATAATTCTTCTCCAAACATGTAAAACGCAAAAGGGTATGAATATGAAAGAACCCGCCTTGATCTGAAAAGTCTATAGAGTCCATTAGTTACCCAGCTGAAATCTCTAAGCCTCGATTCCCTCTCTTCTGAAATTGATACCTTCTCCAGTATAGTCTCCTTGAGTTTACTCTCAAGCTTGAAGGAATCTGTATGAGCTTTATAACGGTTGTGATAGTGCATATATCGATAGAGATCTCGCTTCGCTCGCTCAGTTTTTTTCTCTCGATCTTCTTTGTAGCGACCACAGCTGTGACCAGCAATTCTTGACCAAGTATGGTCCCTCCCAGTAGCTCCACCACACAGCCAGCTGTATGATTTGGAAAAGAGAGAAAACATGATATAAACCACAGTCAGCAAAAGATATCATAATAAATTAGGCTAGATGTGACCAGTGAAAGAAAAGCCTTAAAAGATAGAATCTCAAGTAACTCATATTCACCAGTGGGTAAATCATGTGGAACAAGCCAAATAATACCAGTAATTAGTCCAAACAAATTAAAAATAAATATATTAACAAAGGAAAGATGGGAAAAATCACTTATGCTTCTGTTGATGCGGCAACAAATGCAAGTTCAAAATTTTGATTAGACATGGACATTTATGCCAGAACCAAACACTTAACTTTTGAGGAGTAATAGTCACAACAATGAGATGACAATGAAACCTTTGCAAATTGTAATTGACATAAAAGGAAATCCTCACCAAAATGCTTGCCCACAGATACAACTCACAAGATTGCATCCACCATTCTTCTCCACAGGTTTGTGACACTTTGGACAAGGCTTTGTGTGAACCGTGATCCAATTGACTGTTTCTGATTCATCTCGGCACTTCTTGGTCCAAAGCTCCCACATCATACATGAACACGGTGAGTGTGCTTCTGATAAGCAACTGAAACAAAACTGTAGACCACAAGAACACTCTACCTCACAAAATTCATCATCCTCAACGCGTATTGCATTTCCACAATGAGGAGTACTAGGGCACCATTTAACCATCCTATTATCTTCGATGTATGACTCAAGAAGGAAACGATCAAATTTCTCTGCTAGATCAGGATGCTTTTTACCAACTAGACTTCTAACCACAGCTTCATCACAAATAGCATTGCATTTGTGTGCCATGCACCTAATGCGCCTACTCTGACCCTCATTTATTTTCACAACAAAATGCTCTGTCCAACCTAAAAACCAGTAGAGGGAAAATCAACTCAAAATACTAAAATGTACAAGCTGATACAACTTCAATAACTTTGTGCACACATCATCAAAATTCATATGTGTCTCTGAGTTGATCGTTAAGGGTCAATTTCAAGAGTTCTCAGCTTTGTTGACATGCTGATGCTATGTGGTGAACTGGTCATGTCATATATACATGCTTCAATAAGAAAAATCAGACTAAGGAGGGTGCTTACAGTCATTGCAAAAGTGATGGCCACAGGCCATTTTCGTCATCGTATCACCAGGTAACTCCTCCATGCATATGTCACACATAGCTGTAGATGAAGACAACACAGGTGTTCCTGTATCCTCACACTCAACAACAGAAACACCTGCTTCAGCAAACAAGTCTGCTTTTCCCTTCTCCACAAGCACCGCAAGCAACTTCTCAACGTCCCATCGGTAATGGATAAGTAAAGTCCGTGCATGGTGCTCCCTTAGAGATAGCATGTCCATTACTCTGCGTAGATCCTCCCTCTACCCAGAACACCAAAACAATCAATTCAATCATATGAAACAAAACACATCGGAAACCCACAAAAAAAGAAAGGAAATGAAATAAATCTTTACCTGTGCAGCTAAAAGTGATTCTTTTGTAATAACCTGCACAATGCCAGAAAGGGTCACAAAAAACCATGCCCATTCTCCAAATTAAGTATAAAATAGGGGCCAAAAGAAAGAGAAAGATAAGAACTCACAGAAACAATGTATAATGTTCTTCTTTAAGGGGTTTTCCCATTGAGGTTAAAGGTTTAAAATTCCCTATTTTCTGAGGGGGAAAAGTTTCAATGCACGCAATGCCATTGACTAAAACAAAACACAATCATGGTCATGAACATTACGTAGAAAAAATTCATCGAATTAAATGACCAGGTAGGTCATCAGCTCCTCCTCCTGCGACATTAGAGAATTACCTAATGCTACCACGCCCCCCCATACACACACACAGAGAACCTCAAAGTTGCTTCAAATTACTCTATCCACTCACAATCCGCAAACCCAGAAAAGGTAACAAAAAAAAAACCTTCCTTTGTTAACCATCTACCAGTAATCCACAGCTAATTCAACTACAAAAAACCAAAAAAAAATCCAGCTTCACACTGAAAAATAAACCAAAAACGAAGAATCAAGAAATCAATGACAATCAAAACAACCATTTGAATTCCCAATAACCCAAAAATGAAAAAGCAAGAGAGAAACGAATTTGACCTTGGTAGTGGGACCCTTGGAAGGGGCCCACTGGAAATCGGAGTCCTCATTCTCGAGCCCGTCGAGGGATTCTCGATCAGACGAATAGTAGTAATCCTCCTCGCCGCAGCTCGTGGAATCCTCCATCGCCCGATCGATCAATCAAACCAATTCCAAATTTATTTATTAATCACTATTATTATTCTGCCTATAATATCTCCAAAATCCCAGAAACAAAAAACGACAACTTTCAAAGCAAAAACTTTATGCAACGATCATAAACAATGATTCATGATATGGGATTTCGTTAAAATTCTGAATCGATCGATCAAGAACCAAAAAGACACGATTTTATTTCCGGCTAAAATTGCTTTTTCTTCCTTCCTTTTGCCGGCGAAAAAGAGAGAGAGAGAAGAAGAAGAAGCAGAAGCTTTTTATTGGAAAACGAAGCTTGCAATAGACAACCAATAAAATTACTAATTTATTTTCTTTTTCTTTTTCTTTTTTTTTATATTTTAATATTTGTGTGAGAGACAAAGAGAGAGAGCAGAAGAAGTAGAAAGAGAGATGCTGAAGATGCTTTGCTACCGCTGCTAATAAATGTACGACTAAAAAGAACGAAACGCCGTCGTTCAATTCATCCTTATTTGCTTTTTTTGATTATAATTAAGTTATATATGGCCATATTTATTTCCTTCTTTACTTCTAATTAAGTACTAAGACAGTAGTTCAAACATAATCCAAAGTTTAATATAGTATTATTATGAGAGAATTATTTAAGTATGATTTTAGCTAATTATTTTCTATCAACAGTAACAGTAATACCAAAATACATTTTATTCTATAAATAAATAGAAATTATTGTATTTTTATCTCAAAAAATTATTGAATTAATTACATACACAAGATATTAAATCCGGTAAGTGGGGATTAGATATGTTATATATTGATTGATGACGTAGTTTAATAAGAGAATATTAAATATATTTTCTTTTATATTGAATTTCATTTATCTTTACTTTCTTTTTGAATATGGTAAGTTATATGGGCAAAATTTTTTCCTTCTTCAATTTTAATTTCAATTCTCATCTCTATTTTCATGTGCTAACTTTTAAAGAAAAATAAAAGAATTTTAGTATAAATAGTACTTAAAATACAATCCAAAATTGAAACTGTATCATGATATATTATAAGTATTTTATTTTACTAAATTTATTCGGTGTGATATTTTGAGTAATTATTTTGATTAATTGTAATGATTATATTTAATTTTTTATATTTCGTGAATAAACAAGACTTATACATTCATTATATGTACAAAATCTTATATTTGAAAAGTGGAGATATTTTATGTTATGTATTAAATGATGACGCGATTTAATAAAAGAAGATTATAATGTATTTTCACCAAAGAAGATTTTTTTAACTCATTTAATTATCATCTATTTATGAAGTTAAGGTTTTGTTAAAAAAAAAAATCTTACATAATATTTAATTCAAAATAAAAAGAGAATAAAATAAAAAATAAAAATTTTATTAAATTTGATATATATAATACTTTAAGTACTTATTTTGGATAAATTTAATTACTATGATATTTTAAGCAACTATTTTGATTAATTGTAACGGTAATACTTAATATTTTTCATTTTGTAAATAAACAGAACTCATAATTAATTATAAAAAATTAATTGTCGTAAAAAATTATTGAATTAATTACATACACAAGATCTCATATGCTATATGTTGATTGATGACGTAAAATAATAAAATATTTTTATTGAGATTTTTATTATATTATTTATTTTTAGAAAATAATAAAATATATCAATTTAAAAATGCGAAATTTACAAATATAACGGCACGGAAAGCAATCTTACGCAATCATCCACGCGCGTCGCACGTGATGACCCAATCCGTTAAACCAACCATACTCTGTTCCCAAAATGGCCAAAGCCCCGGTTCTGTCCTAACCCCCAAAAACCTCAGAAAAATGTCTATGCTTCTCAAATCCTTCATTTTCCTATCCTTTCGATTCAGACCCCTCGCTGTTTTCCCTTCTGTATTACTCCCCAAATCACCTTGTAGGAACCGTCGAACCCTTTCCTTCGTTTCCGCTTCCAGTCATCCATCTCCTCCTCCTCCTTCCCTGTCCCCTGAAACTCCCAAAGCCATCGCACCACTAGCCCCTTCCAAGCACTCTCTCCAGTGGGTATCTCGCACCGCTTTTTGTGGTGATTTGTCAAGTGAAGATGTGGGTTCCCGGGTCCGGCTTTGCGGGTGGGTCGCTCTCCACCGGGTCCATGGTGGCCTCACCTTTCTTAATCTCAGAGACCACACTGGCATTGTCCAGGTATTTACTTAATTTTTCCAATTTTCATATAGAAAGAAAAGTTTTTTTGAAATGGGTTTTTAGCATTTCTTTGGGTGTTTTTGAATTATAGATTACGTCGCTCCCAGATGAGTTTCCTGATGCCCATGCAGCTATCAAGGATTTGAGGCTTGAGTATGTGGTTGCTGTTGATGGTCTTGTCCGGTCTCGGCCCAGCGAGGCTGTTAACAAGAAAATGAAAACCGGCACAATAGAGGTATAAAACTATATTTAAGCTTGTGTATTTATTCTTATTACTATGTGTTTAATTTGATGTCAATTACATCTGCCAGGTTGCTGCGGAGCATGTTCAGATATTAAATGCTGTAAGATCAAAGCTACCATTCTTGGTTACCAGTGCGGATGATGCAAAGGATTTTGTCAAGGAGGAAATCCGTTTAAGGTAGCCAGCTTCGAACTTACTTGTCTGAGTTTAGTTCTGAGAAGCTATGCACTTGATTAGCTGGTAAACTGATATTATCTTTATAATATGAATGGAGAGAAGAATCAGCTACATTGTTCCTGATGACTTGCCTAGATTAGTTTTAGAGTCTGTTTTTGGAGTATTGCTTCTAACTTCTGAATTATCACAAGCAATTCCAGTTTGGTACAGATGTTTTCCTTATGATATAACTGGGAATTTGAATTGATGTTTATTGTCGGTATACCTGTTCATAGATATCGATGCCTTGATTTACGCCGGCACCAAATGAATTTCAACATCATGCTGCGTCATAGAGTGGTGAAACTCGTTCGACGATATCTAGAGGATGTACATAATTTTGTGGAGGTATAACCCTTTGAAGTTTGTTCTACTATAATAATTTATAATTATAATTTCTTTAGTTCGTTTTCTAGTGATTCATGTTCAGTCTGTGTTGATTCTGACCTTTTCATGGTTATAAGGTAGATTGAAACTCCAGTGCTCTCTAGATCTACTCCAGAAGGTGCTCGGGATTATTTGGTGCCATCTAGGATCCAGGTATTAATGATTCAGCTGCTATTCACCTCCATAATATGCCTTTAATACTGCATGAAACAACTTTTGTGATGTCAAAAAGCTTCATATCCTAAGGGTTATTTATTCACTCAATAAGGGTTAAACTTTTCAAGTGTTCAGTTTTTATCTGTCATTGGGACACTGGAGCAGGTCTGATTCACTCTAATGTATATTTTGAAGCCAGGAACATTCTATGCTTTGCCTCAAAGTCCGCAGCTTTTCAAGCAAATGTTAATGGTTTCTGGTTTTGATAAATATTATCAAATAGCAAGGTAAGCTTTCTAGATGCTGTCAGAGCATGTTAGTCTACTGCAATGATTGTCTCTATCTGGATAAGCTTTCTCCATTTTTTCTGGCTTACTCAGGCCCTTTTGGTTTCCCCTTTTGCAACCCCCATGATGAAGGCAAGTGTGAGAATCTTCTAGGATATAACCACAATATAAATTCTTTTTCTTTTCCAGATGTTTTAGAGATGAAGATCTGAGAGCAGATAGACAGCCTGAGTTCACACAGCTTGATATGGAAATGGCTTTCACTCCATTGGAGGACATACTGAGGCTTAATGAAGACTTAATTAGAAAGGTTAGTGAGTTGGGGGCAATATGCTTCGATGTTTGAGTCCAAGCTCCAAAAATCTGTCACGAGGAATAATTCATAAATATTTGCTGGTTTGTTTGGATATAAGGGTCTCAAATATTTAGTTACAGTTGTTTCCTGCCTAAAATTTGGGGAAAAAGGAAGCTGCTTATGAAAACCATTGAACTTTGGCATCAAGTCATATGTGATAACAAAATGGAGTATGTGAGTCTATTCATTGGTGAAGGTTCTCTGTATTACAAATATATGTACCCATTGGTAAATAAAGTATTCAAGTTTAACTCTGTAGTAACCTGCTTAGCTTGAGATAAGCTTCATGGGGTTCGGCTCATGGGCTTTCTAAGTGGCTTGGCTTCATTTTACATTGGCCTGCCATTAGTCGAGCTAGGTTTGCTAATTGACAGCCTAGGTAGACACTTGAGGCATTCATCAGAAGGCCTTTGTCAGTGCATTTTTCGTTGAATGTAGGTGAATGTAATTGCCTTCACCATCTGAGGCATTGGAAGTAATGTTATGTATTTATTGGAATTTCATATTTTTTTAGTATGTGCACGTTGTAGGAGTGTTAAGAAAGCTTATTCACTGTAGGTTTTTCTAGAGATTAAAGGCGTCCAGCTACCCAATCCTTTCCCAAGGCTTACATATGCTGAGGCAATGGATCGATATGGTTCAGATAAGCCAGACATCAGATTTGATCTTGAGTTGAAAAATGTAATGATCTTTATTCAATTATTTACTAAGCACATATTGTGTAAGATTTGCTGATTTACTTGGCAGTCATTGTCTAATATTTGCTTATCTTTTTGCTTCCCACCGGAGCTGCAGGTATCTGATCTCTTCTTAGACTCTCCCTTCAGACTCTTTGCAGATACATTGAAAAATGGTGGAATTATCAAAACATTATGTGTGCCATCAGGTGCTAAAAGGTTTTCGAACACAGCTCTTAAGAAAGGTGATGTTTATAATGAAGCAATCAAGTCTGGAGCAAAGGGTCTACCCTTCCTAAAGGTCTTGGATGATGGTAAATAGTGTTATTCTCTATGTAGCTTTGATTTTCCTTTCCTCATTTGAAAATGTTGATTTCTTAATTTTAAAGCTTGTTTTGATGGATTTATTATCCTTTCAGGAGAGATTGAGGGAATTCCTACATTAGTATCTAGTTTAGGTCCAACAAACAGAGAGCCATTTTTGAGACAATGCTCTGCAGGACCAGGTGATCTGATCTTGTTTGCAGTTGGCCATCATACATCAGTTAACAGAACCTTAGATCGACTTAGGGTATTCATTGCCCATGAACTTGGTTTGGTTAACTATGTAAGTTCCTGATCAGCCTTCAATCGGAAATATATATAGTTGTTTCTCTCCTTTTTTCTCTAACCAAAGCTTTTTCTTCAATTCTGAAATGCAGTCCAGGCATTCAATTTTGTGGGTGACTGATTTCCCAATGTTTGAGTGGAATGAATTGGAGCAGAGACCTGAGGTCTGTTTCATGCTTTTGTTATGTCTTTGGTGATTCTAGTGAAATAATTGATATATTTTCTATTCTTCGGAAAAAATTAGCATTATTGTCTTAGGTTCCCTTGGTCCACTGTATAATTAATCCCTACGATAGTTTGCCATTAGTATCAATGTCTGATTTTATGTTATTCTTAAGGAACTAACAAAGTGGCTGAGTTTCAAGATCTGATTTTTGTTGGTGTATAAATTCTTGCTGTTTTATCAAAATGGAAGGCAGTAGATACCTCAAAGTTTAGATTTTATCATTTCTTTATTTTTCTCTTTGTTTTCATTTGGTGGCATGCATGTGCTTACATAACAAACTTTTGGGCAAAGCTTTACCTTGTTAAATTAATGTTACATGTAGGGGTGTGCATAGGTCGGTTCGGTCGGTTTTGACGAAAAACCGACTAAAAATTTTTGGAATTTAACCGACCGAACCGCCATAGTATAAAGTCGGTTTCGGTCGGTTTTTTTGAATGTCGGTTTCGGTCGGTTTTGGTGATGAAATTAATGGGTTGAAGAATGGAAGACTGATAAGCAAAAAGCAAGGGTGAAGGGAGAGGGAAATTAACTCTGGACTCGTAGTCCGCGAGGGGGGGGGGGGGGAATTAGGTCCTAGCGGGGGTGGGAGGAAATTTCTGGACTTGAGTGGGGGAGGCGGAATTGGGACTCGTGGGAGGGGGCCGGGGGAATCGGACTCGTGGGAGGGGGGCCGAGGGGAATCAGGTCGGGGGCCGGGGCAGTCTAGAGTTGAGACTAGGGGGAGGGGCGCCGGCGGGAGAATCAGGTGAGTTGGAGAGATTGGGGGGGGATTTTGTTAGGTCGGCGGGTTGGGAGGAGAATTAGCCAATTAGGGTCAGCACCGAGTCGGGGCTTCGGGGGGTTCGGGGAAGTACTAGAGTGCTGTGCTGCTGCTGCCGGGGCAGCCGGGGCGGGACCCATGGGTCACCTTGAATAGTCGGTTTTTCGGTCGGTTCGGGGGGGGGGGGGGATGATTCCCGCACGCATCGAGCCGATCAGCCGACGAGGCCGATCGGCACAACCGACGGTTGCAAAAACAACCGTCGGTTACAATAACCGACGGTTGCGGTCGGTTGGGCGGTTCCAACCGACCGTTGCCCTCCCCTAGTTACATGGTAGTTTTAGTTTGTTAAATACTATATTATTTCTTGTCACCTGCCTGTTTTTGAAAAAGTATTTATGTTGTAGGCCTTGCATCACCCATTTACTGCACCACACCCTGAAGATATGGAAGATCTTTCTTCTGCACGTGCCCTTGCTTATGACATGGTTTACAATGGAGTTGAGGTATTTACATTGTTTGCTTTCTGGCAGCTCTAAAGGGTAAGGAATTCATTAACCACCTCTTATAGATCGTAACTTAATGCATTATTGCCTCTGTCATTGTCAGATTGGTGGAGGAAGTTTAAGGATTTTTAAACGTGAGGTCCAACAGAAAGTATTGGAAACTGTTGGCATCTCTTCTGAACAGGTGAGAAGAACCTTAAGCTATTCTAAGATATACTAATGGTTATTCTTTGTGCCATATAACTGGGGAAATCTTGCGTCTGTTGACGATCTGCCTATTGAGTTTTCTTGCCAAGAAAGGCCAAGGGTTTGGTTGGTTCTTTTATCTAACTAGTGTCAATTGGATAGTCTGATCCACCATGAGACTGGCCCAAAGAAACATAATAAACCAGAATACTTACTAATTTTAGAAAAGCAGAGATTTGTTTGAGTTCTTAATCCTTAACTGTTCCAAATAATGTGGTTATATGTTACTTCATGTACAGGCTGAAGCAAAGTTTGGCTATCTTCTGGAAGCTTTAGACATGGGTGCTCCTCCACATGGTTAGGCATGCCTAGGCCACAGTTCTATGACTTTTTAATTTGGAAAAAAATCACTTGCTATTAACCTTTTGCCTATTTCAGGGGGAATTGCTTATGGTTTGGATAGATTGGTTATGTTGTTAGCAGATGCAAATTCTATCAGAGATGTCATTGCTTTCCCGAAGACAACTACTGCTCAGTGTGCCCTCACTCGAGCGCCATCCGGAGTGGATATCCAACAGTTGAAGGATCTCTCACTGCAGACCCAATAGTTTCTTCTTCATTTGCTTGTCTTTACGAAAAGCCAGCTAGGTTGTCCATTAGCCATTCTATTAATCACCATTGGTTGATTATAAAGCTTCTGTTCCTTGTATGCTGTTTTTCTTTCATTCTTAACAAAAAAGTTGGAATACGTCGAATTTTGATATGAGAAATTATAGCTGTATCTGTGGAACTATACCTATGTCATATTTTTGTTCTATCATCAATGGACGAGTCTCGAGTTTTAAGTATTTCCTGCTATTCAGTTATTCATTTTAATATCACTGAAATGTTCTGGAGCTATGACAGAATTTAGCTTTTGCTCTTTCATTTTGGAGAATTTAATACAGCTGATGATGCTTTCTTGTAATTCAACGGTCAGCTGGTCATTACATTAATCTTTATCCTGGGCATTATCATCATAAAATTCATTGGTGCCTCTATGAATGTATGAATGTAGTTATTGTGGTCTTAAAACTCTGAAAATGAAAATCGAGTTTAAATAGGTGTTAAAATCCACAAAATAACAAAAGTAAAAAAAAAAAAAACGTTTTAGAGAACTAGAAGTATTTTTTATTCTCAAGTTGTGTGCTATTGATAAAGTGAAGGGTATTTATACATTGGTAGTTAGCTCGCAAGATAAAGATAAAATTATTTAAATGATTTAATTTAAAGAGATAATATTTTAATTAAATTTTAATTTTAATTTAATTTGTATTTAAATACATTAGTAAATTGCATAGCTCAAATTAGATTAGATATTTTGAGGTGTGCTACTTTTGTATACGAGTTGGACCTTTTTTTTGACTTGTTGGGTTGCTTAGCCTGTTAGCTTATCTCAGTTGGTTGGCTTATTAGCCTGCCTAATGAACTTGGGTTTGTTTGAACTCTTGAACTATAACATCTTCCTTTATTTAATCCAATAACATCTTTATGATTTAGAAATGAACGTCTTTATGCACTGTGATATCATGATCGTCCTATCGCATGTGTTTGTCTTGAACAACCTCATTTTATGCACTTTTGACTTACACACACTACTTTGGAATGCCTAATTTCTTTTAACACTTGTTGTGGACCAATTTGCCATTGCCTTAACCCACTGGTTTCACAAGTGCTTGTAGGTCTCGACGATTTCACATCATGTCTTAAGCCTCTTGGCCTTTCTAGCTCTCGTTTGTGGCAATCTCATCGCCATTGATCTTGGTCTCTTTTAGATCATATGGGATTTTGCTATCATTTGTTACTCCTTTAGGTGCAACATGATGTTGCTTAATCTAAGTATGCTCTTAGCTCCCTTGTCGTGGATGATGGCACTCTTTGCCATTACATTGACATTTCTCTCAAACTGTATGGATAGTTTAACGGGTTTCCTCTTTTTTGTGCAACACTAGATTTCTTAGGTGTAACCACTCATCGGGTCCCTCTATACATTGGTTATCACTTTTGTTGCGTAGATCTTTCTCATCTAGCATGAAAACAAGGAACTTTTTACACATGGGGCAAACCCATGTCAAGTGTAACTCCTCGTATGATAAACATTTGACAGATTACTTTCCTTGCCATTCCACTTGGTGATTGCCTTGGTCAGGTGGCATGGTGACTTTTTGTTAGCCTTTTCCTTTGATTCATTATCCTTTTTTAACCCACTATTGCCTTTTTTCTTGAGTCAGGATGAGCGAAGCTCAACCAAACTCTCAACTACCAATATGGCTTGTGTAAGGTCTTGCGCGCCTTTACTTTAAAGCTTTTGCTTTGTCCATGGCTTCAAGCCATCCATAAACGTAAATAACATCTCTTTCTCCTTAGCATCACTAATCTGTAACAACAATTCATTGAATTCTTTAACATTTTATCTTATCTCACTTGTTAGGTTAGTCTCCTAAACTTCCCACGAGCCTTATCTTCTATACACTCAAGATAGAACTACTTTTGAAACTCTTTTTGAAACTTCTCCCACCCAAGTGCTGATGGTTTCTCCATAAAGCTTCTCATCATACGTACGTCGCCACTATAGCAAGTCTGTGTTTACCAAACATATAGGGGTTGAATTGATCTATAGAGCATTCTCTGTGATACTTATTGCTTTGAAGTACTGCTTTAAGCTCCAAAAGAAATTGTCCACCTCGTTGGCTTCTCGTTTGTTTTAAAACTCCTTAGGCTTGAGCACATTTTATGGTTGCCTTGAGTATGATGAGCTCAACCTTGAGCCTTCATATCTCTTATCGAACAAACTCAACCATTTTCTCTAGTGTTGCATCTCGATGGTTTAAGATCTCCACTAACTCGTTGAAGGCTGATTGTAATTCTCCACGAATATCTTCATCATAGACCCCAACTTATCTATGATGACTTCAACTTCCGCAAATCTAGCCTTTATCTCCCCTATGACCACTTTTATCTTTATCCTGGATACTTAGTTGTTAAAAGTAAATACCATGTCCCTCGAATTAGACTTAACTTGCTTAGCAAGACTTCTGGTTTCTATCACTTTTTGGGTGGGTGAAAATTGGTCAGTTATGGATGCCATTTTCTTGTTTGATCCTCTGGGCTCTTATACCAATTATCATGTGTTGAAAGATTCTAGCTCAACTTTATGTAATCTTAAGCTCTGAAGATTGAGTTTAAGCCTTAAAACTCAAAAAATAGTGAAAGCAAAAGAAAGAAAAAAGCTAGAGCTTTTAGAGAAATGGAATAATTCTTATTCTTGAGTTGTATGTTACAAATAAAGTAAATGGTTATTTATAGGCTAATAGCCCCTAATCGGATAAAATTAGATTAAAAGATAGATATAATGCTAAGAGATTTAATTTAAAAAGATAATATTCAAAACCAAATCTTAATCTAATTTATATTCAAATACATCAGTAACTATAAGAGTTCAAATCCGATTAGACACACTTAGAGGTGTGCGGATATTTTTAGCCCTAGTATGTGGGCTGGGCTTTTGTTTGGCATGCTAAGCTATTTAACTTGTTGGCTTATTTAGGCTGTCAGATCTACATGGGCTATTAGCTTGCCTAAGTTGTTAGTTTGCTTATGCTACTAGCTTGCTTAATGAACTTGAGCTAGTTTGAACTCTTAGGATTTGACACTTCATTCCTACTTCCTTAAACAATTAAAAGTTTGAAAAGACAAGTTTTATTTTTTGAATGAACCAGTAGGAATGAATCAACAGATTTTTATTCCCAAAAGGGAGAATTACCTGTGGTTGATTTGTATAGATATAGTCTATCACACAAGTCAGTTTTAATCACATAAATTATTAAAAAACGCCTCTTTTCCAAAGATGGAATTGTCTTAAATGGTTCATGTTTCCTAGGTGCTCTACACCTTTCTTTTGGAAACAAATCTATAAGTGCATTTTATCCTTGATAGGAAAAAAGATTTAGAAACAAATTCAAAGGTTGAAAGTAGGAAATCCATAATGTAGAGAATCAACTTTACACTACCTCATTAATGGTTAAAAGTACACAAATTTCTGTACATTATTTTACAAACTCCATAATCTAAGATAATCACTGCTAGTCTAAACCTTATTTTCTCCATCCATACCTACAAACCTATTGAGTTCATTTTCTCCTTTCATACCTAGAAAGTTCAAAACTCATTTATAATGTAATGACATTCCTAATGCACCTATTAAACATATATAATGAACATTAATAAATTCATGAAGCTTTAAACATTCTATACTGTTCAAGATCCTAGAATACCAAATTATGTAAAAATGTATTACATGATCACTATTGTTTTTATATTCGAGCAGTACACATATACAATTTTCAATCTTCACTTTCTTTAAAAGTTGCACTAAACAAATTAAAATTGGAATTTGCTTCTTTCATGATTTTTTAGCAACTACTGCCTATTCACTATCACATGACAACAAATGCCATGCCTTTCTAAGAAATTGTGGCTAAGAAAAAAGTTTTCGAGAAAAATCTAAGTTGGATATTAGTGAAATAGAAAAGAGTGTAATTGATGGACTATATGACATTCCACTACTATTTGTTGCTTCTCTGGTTGTGAATGATTACACTCCTTGCCACTCCACTGGCCTTTTTCTCAAGCTATATAGATAGTCTGATAGGTTTTCTCTTCCTTGTGCAACATTAGGCTCTCAAGGTGTGACCACTCATTAAGTTCCTCTACATGTTATTAGTTGCCACTCTTATTGCCTAAATCCACATCATCCAACATGATAACTAAAAGTTTTTTACACATGGGGTAGTCCCTCATTAAGTGCAATTCCTCTCACAAACATTTGGCGAGTTTCATTTCCTTACCTTTCCTTTGACTATCTTTGTCTGGTGGTATGGTGACTTCTTATCAACCTCTACCTCTAATCCATTATCTTTCTTGGGCCAAGATGAATAGCCTCCAATTAAACTCTTGGCTACCACTATAGCTTGCGTGAGGTCTTGCATGCCTTTACGCTAAAGGTCTTGCTTTGTCTATGGATTCAAGTCATCTTAAATGCAAATAATGCATTTTTTGCTAATTTGCAAAAACAATTTAGAGAACTTTTTAACATATTCTCCTACCTCACTTTGTTAAGTCAATCTTTTAAGCTTCCCTTGAGCTTTATCCTCGACACACTCAAGATAGAACTAATTCCGAAACTCTTTTTGGAACTCTGCTCAAGTGCTAATGATTGCTCCACTGACTTTCTCATCACACCTACATCACCACCACAATAAGGTTATATACACAAAGTACGTAAGCAATCGAATTGATTCACAAAGCGTCCTCCGTGATGCTCATTGCTTTAAAGTATTGCATAAAGCTCTATAAGAAGTTGTTCACCTTATTGGCTTCTCGTTTGCCATGGATCTCTTTGGACTTGGGCACCTTCAATTAAGTCTCTATTTGAGTAGTTGGCAAACCACCTTTTATGCTTACCTTAAGTGCCACAAGCTTGTCTTCAAGCCCCTATACCTCTTGCCGAAGTGACTCAACCAACTTCTCTAGTATCGCATCTCAATGGTTCATTATCTTTATTGACTATTAAGGGTTAACTGCAACCCTCCACGAAGCCCGTCATCTTAGAACCCCAACTCTTTCATGTTGGCTTCAACCTCCTCACATCTATCCTTTATCTCTCCCACGACCACCTTCATCTTGGATACTCAACCATTGAGATTGGACTACATGCCCTTCGAACTAAACTTACCTTGTTTGGCTAAACCTCTAGTCTCCCTTAGCTCCTAGGTGGGTGCAGATTGATCAACTGTGAATGTCATACCTTTTCTTTGATTATATTGGCTCTAATACCAATAGTTCGTATCGAGACTTTAATTCAACTTCGTACAACCTTAAACTCTAAAAATCAAGGTTAAGCAAGCCTCAAAACTTATAAAATAACAAAAAAAACTTTTAAAAAAAATGAAAGTAATTTTTATTCTCAAGTTGTTTGTTAAAAATAAAGTGCAAGAGGTATTTATAGGCTGATAGACCCCTTACCACATAGGATTAGATTACTTGATAGAGATAATATTAAAATATTTAATTTGAAGAGTTAATATTCAAATTAAATCTAAATCTTAATTTAATCTACATTCAAATAAATCAACAAATACAAGCGTTCAAATCAGATTATATACTTTTAGGGATGTGCAAGTATTTTTGCCTTTTGTACATGAGTTAGACCTTTTGTTTGGCTTGTTGGCCTGTTTGGCCTATTTAGCCTGCTTAGGTTGCTAGCCTGCCTAGTCTACTAGTTTGCTTAAGTTGCTCACCTGCATGATGGACCTAAGCTAGTTTGAACTCTTAAGCCGTGACACCTAGTTCTCACTTCGCCAAACAACTGAGAGTTTTAAAAGATAGGTCTCATTTTTTGAATGAACAAGTAGGATTGAATCAGTAAGTTTTTATTCCCAAAAGAGAGAATTATCTGTAACTGATTTGTATAGTTATGATCTGACAGACAATTCAATTTTGACTACATAAATTGTTAAAAAAACGATTCTTTTTCAAAGATGAAATTGTCTTAAATGATTCATGTTTCCTGGATGCTCTACATCCCTCTTTTAGAAACAAACCTACAAGTGCATTTTACCCAGATGAAAAAAAAAATCAGAAACAAACTCCTCATTAATGGCTAGAAGCACCTAAATTTTTATACATTATTTTACAAAACCTTAGGTAGCTTATTTTTTTCTCCATCCATACCTAGAAACCTGTTGAGTTCATTTTCTCTTTTTCATACCTAGAAAGTTCAGAACTCATTAATTTATAATGTAATTACATTCCTAATACACGATTTAAACATATGTACTCAACATTATCAAATTCATGAGAGCTTTAGACATCATATCCTACTCAAGATCCTAAAATACCAAATTATGTAGGAATGTATTACATGATAATCATTGTTTTTATATTCTAACAATGCACATATACAATTTTGAATCTTCACTCTCTTTAGAAATTCCACCAGACAAATTAAAATTTGCTTCTTTCATGATTTTTAAGAAACTACTACCTACTCACTCATTGTAACATGACAACCAATGCCATGCCCTTCCAAGAAATTATGGCCAAGAAAAATGTTTCCGAGAAAAATCTGAGTTGGATATTTAGTGAAATGAGAAAGGGTGTAACTGATGAAGAGTAGGAGCATTGCATCTTTATTATTTGGGATGTTCATTCCATATATATAAACCAGGAAGAGAATCCAAAACTTCCTAAATAGTATATAATTTAATCCAAGCAAACCACAGAGAGAATTGCACCTAAAACATAGTAAATTAGGACAGCTCAAACTGTTAAATATTTCATCCTTAATGCCTATATATATACTGATCATTCCTACTCCTCAGGACCCCATCACTGTCTCTCCCCTGGAAAAAGTTCTTTTGTTTGCCTGATCCTAGAGATGACGAAGAAGCAGAGTAAGGGTCGCCAAAGGGTTGAGATGGTGAAAATGAAAAACGATAGCAATCTCCAAGTAACCTTCTCGAAACGTCGGGCTGGGCTTTTCAAAAAGGCTAGTGAACTTTGCACTCTTTGCGGTGCTGAGATTGCAATCATCGTCTTCTCACCTGGCCGCAAGGTATTCTCCTTTGGCCATCCTGAAGTTGAAGCTGTTATGGATCGTTACCTCAATATGCCCGACCCTCCGCAAACTTCAGGAACTATGCAGCTCATTGAGGCTCACCGTAATGCTAATATCCGTGAGCTCAACATGCAACTCACCCAGGTTTGATTAGATTTTTTAGACTGATTTTAACGTTTTTCGCTATAAATCATTGAAAGCAATGTGAACAAATCTTTTTGTATCAGGTGGCCAACCGATTAGAAGCTGCAAAAAAGCGTGGTGAAGAGCTTAACGAAATGAGGAAAGCAATCCAAAGCCATTGCTGGTGGGCGTCCCCTTTCGAGGAACTTAGCCTGCCACAACTCCAGAAACTGAAAACTGTCATGGAGGAGTTGAAAAAGAACGTGGCGAGCCAGGGCAACCATCTTCTTATGCAGAGGATGAATACCCAGCAGTTTCTCATGGGGAGTTCTAGCTCAGGGGAGATTCCTTACGAGCCAAAGGACAATATTGTATTCGATGCAAATATGATGCCTGCGGGATACAGTGCTCCCAACATGATGCCTGAGGGATTCAGTGCTCCCAACATGATGCCTCCTCCTCCAGGATTCAACCCCCATCCTGAAGGATACAATTATCTGAACCCTCTGGGATACAATCCTGGATTCGGACGTGGGTTCTTCTGATTACTCTAGTTGCTTTTCTGTTGAATAAATAAAAAGCTGTAGCCACAGTGTATGTTTCCTATATGGTTTTATGTATTTTGCCTCCTAGTAATTGGTTCTTCGTGTGTGATATGATTTGGTTCAAAGACTGTAATCTCTGTTAGACTGGAATGGTTATGAACCTGTGTGGCCTGTTAATTGTTTATGTATTTCGTTGTTGCTTATGTTCAATTTGAAACTACATTCATCTTCCTATTAGTTTTCTTTGATTATATTGGAGCAATATTTTCTCTTTATTACGTCTTGATAGATCTTTACATTTGCTGTTTTGTGTATATTTAGTCAAACATTTTGTATATATACTTTGTTAGCAATCAATATGAAACCGAAGGGTTAGATTGTAATTATATTTTCTTAAAAACTTATAATTAACAAAATTATTTACAAGATGATCTTGAAAAGTATAAATTTTTTATTTTTTTAACAAATTTCAAATATAGAATTCTGTACTTTCTTACATATGAGACTCTGTACGAAATTAATAAATTTTTAAAAACATAAATTTCACGTGCTAAATTATAGATCTATTATCTTTGTCTCTAAAAATTATAACATTCACATTAATCTCATGATTCCAATAAAGTTATTCTATATGATCGGCTGCTTATTCAACTTTGAATCGTTAGGTAAAAAGATAAGCATTAACATCAATGCTAAAAAGCTCCTGAAAAGGTTAATAGAAAACATTATAATTAATATACCATACATGGCTTTTTCCAGGGTTAATGTTCTTTGCTGTCATGTAACAATATATTGTAATTCTACCACCAATTTCATCCACAAATGGCATGTGCTGATAATGCAAGAAAAGTTGAATCTTCGGTGTTTGGTGCCAGGATTCTTTTGAGACTATTTTGTCTAACCTGTCTGCATTTATTTAGTGCATATCTATGATGATAAGCTTGCCTAATTAGATTCTAAATGCATTCATAATTCAACAATGAAAATCAATTGGTTCTTTCATCATGCGGCTGACATTCATCTTCCCTCCAACCATCATGGGTTTCCAGAGAAGAAAATCAATACAATTTGAATATTCTCCGATGGTGAAGAGGCTCAGCCAAATGTCATTTCTGTTTAGTTCAATCCATGAAAGGATATGAGCTTTGGATGAAAACCTAATCAGATTGCAAGGAATGAACTTAATATGCACCCTGCAAGGAATGAGATTGCAATAGTGGCTTGGAAAATGAAATTAATCTCCAATCACATTGAAAGTTATAAAAGCAAATTTTGAAATTTATCCTTTTAAGCACATTTTCAAAGAAACAAACTCGACAAATTAATAAAAATTAAAATCTTACTTTAAAATGATAAACTCAATTATTGATCGACTAGTAAACGTTAAGATTTTAAAAGTTTTTTATTTAGTGAAAAGTTACGTCTATGATATTCTCTTTTTTGTAAAACACTCGAATCTTTTCCTTTCCCCATAAATAACTTTTACATTGCATGGGGGTGAAAGTATAACTTGTACCATGAGTGATTCAATGTGAGAAAGTGATATTGAAACTGACAAAAGAACTAAAAGCTTATGATCAAACGCATATTGCTCATAAACCAATACATACAGATTTAGTTTCAAAGTAATTCCCCATAAAAATCAAAGATTCTGATAACCTCCAAAATCAGGGTTTAATCATACACTGAAGATATAGCACAGGGAAAATAATTAACTTTGATTAGTGACATACAAAGGAGCAACCTGTATAAATACCCTCCATGTGTTTCTCCTTTTCCAGATCCAACGAGATCCTTGGGTACTTTAATCTGTCTGTTCTTTCTTCAGTTCTTCCTTCGATTTCTTCACCATGACCAAGAATTCTAACATGGGTCGTCAAAGAATCACAATGGCAAAAATAGCAAAGAAGAACCATCTACAAGTAACATTCTCCAAGCGTCGTACGGGACTCTTTAAGAAAGCTAGTGAACTCTGCACACTTTGTGGGGTTGATGTTGCGATGATCGTCTTCTCCCCTGGCAAGAAGGTTTATTCTTTCGGACATCCTCGAGTTGAATCCATCGTGGACCGGTTTCTCACCCAGAACCCTCCTCTCCGAAGCTCTACTGCTCACCAGCTGGTCGAAGCACATAGAAATGCTAGTATCCACGAGCTTAACATCCGACTAACTCAGCTTCTTGAACAGCTAGAAATCGAGAACAGGAGGGGAGATGCACTTGATAACATTAGGAAAGCTGGCCTGAACCTGTGTTGGTGGCAGGCTCCCATTGATGAACTCGGCTTGAATGAGTTAGAGCGACTGAGAATTGCACTTGAAGAGTTAAAGAAGAATGTAGCAAAGCAAGCCAAGAAGGTCTTGCTTGAGTCTGCTGATCACAAACGCTGGCAATTTCTAGCAGTCAATGGTATTGGACATGCCAATCCTTTTGAGAACAAGGACAATGGCATCTGCAGAATTATTGATCAAGCTTATGGCTATGGTGATGGGCTATTTTGAGTTTCCTTAATCTTTTCAGTTACACTGTTGTTACAAACTAGCTAGTAACTCACTGGTTAAAAAACTTTGTTCTAATTCTTCTTTATCTATAAAATTATGGCTTTAAAGGACAAATTATGAGCTTGCAAAATAATAGTCCACTGAGGAATATTTCAATTAATTGTATCTTTGTAAATTAACAAAAAAAAACAAGCAAACAAACAAAGTGAACTTTAGTTGGCCTCATAATTTTCTCTTGATCCACCATGAATATATAAGGCTTAAGCATTGCTTTTTTTGTTTCTCTCTTTTAGAAAAACATATGATACTTTATTATTATAAATAAAATCATACAATACAAATTAATACAAAACAAAACCATTCTCTTAAGTATCAACAAATCTTGTTTGAACACTGTATTTGATAATTTTGTGTTAAAGTATTACTTAAATATAATTAAGAGTGAACTTTAGAATATGCACTTAAACCCTTTTTATACAAGAAAATCTTTGGGGCATGTGTGTAGCTATTTTTTCTTAATCAACAAGCACAAAACTATAAAGTCCACATTTTCCTCCCTAATTTCAAGGAATTATAGAATTCAAATTCACATTTAAATAAATCAAATTAAATTGAAATTCACATTTTTTTTCTTTTCATAAGTTGAACAATAAACCTCCCATTTCAACCTCTACCACATTACAATGCCATACTATAGAGATGATCACTACATAGCTTGGAAATCAAGAAAATATTGGAGAATCATTATTAATTACTAATTTTAGGGATACATTTTAAAGTAAAGTCCAAAAATTTGGGGTAATAATTAATGACTTATATTGATCAATTCTACCAATAAAATAATATGTTTTTAACTTACCATATATATCATTAAAAATTTTTTAAAAAGGTAAATTTATTTATTTATTTATTTAATTTAATTTTTTTAAAAAAAATCCAATTATAAAGGTATCTCCTAGCTTATATTTGTTACACTACGAAATTAAAAGGAAAAGCATCCGAATTCTCTGAGCAAGTCCTGATTACAATGGCTAAGGCAACGAGAGGCCGCCAGAAGATTCAGATAAAGAAATTGGAAGACGAGAGCAGCCGCCAAGTCACTTTCTCCAAGCGCCGCAACGGTCTGTTCAAGAAAGCCAGCGAGCTCTGCGTTTTATGTGGTGCGAACATAGGCATCATCGTCTTCTCTCCCAGGGGAAAACCTTTTTGCTTTGGTCACCCCAACGTGGACGCGGTGGTGGATCGTTATCTCAGCGGAAACCCCACTCTGCATGGGGAGGAGGATTCGGAGACGAGCTGCGACGGTACCCCATGTTTCGAAGAGTTGGACGAAGAGTGCAAGGAGGCAATGGAGAAGCTAGAGGAAGAGAAGAGGCGGAGCAAAGAGATTGAAAAAGAGAAGGAAGAGAGGAAAAAGAAGGGACAGTTTTGGTGGGATGAGCCCATCGACAACATGGGGGTAGAAGAACTTGAGGCGTACGTCAAAGCCATGGAGGAGTTGAGGAAGAATGTGGCTAGGAGGGCTAACGAGTTGATGGGGGATGTTTTAGCGGCGGCTACGGTGGCTAATTCTGGCGGTTTGGGTACTGGTTTTGCTGATCAAAATGGTGGTTTTGGCTATGGTTACGATGGTTTTCATTTTGGTCATGGCCATGGCCTAGATTTTGGAGGTGGTCAGTTCTGAAAATGGCGGTCGCGGGCGTTTCCATTCTTCTTTTCATTTTCCTTTTGGACATGGTTATATTTCTTTTCTTTTTCTTTTAAATTATTGAAGGTAGGATTCGATCTACTTTATTTCTGATTATTATATATATTAAGAGAAATTGAACTAAAATATTTTCTTTCATTAATTATTGTTTTCTAGGTTTTGTGATCTATAACAAACTAGAGTTTTAATTACACTTCTTTAAATAATATATTTTTTAATAAAATTTTAAAAAGTGTAATTATTTAAAATTTTAATTATATATTTTTTACATTAAATAGTAATATCAAAATTCGTTAAAAATTTGTATAGTGTAATGAAATTTCTTAAAAAACATTGTAAAGAATATGTAAAAAGTGTTAATAAAAATATTTTTAGTATACTTTTCTTTTTTTTTTCTTCACAATCGTAATCATCCTATTGTGGGATAATCTTTGTGAGATTAAAAATGCAAAATATTTGCATATTGATAGGGAATTGAATGATTTTTTTTTATTATCTTTTTGTTATAATTGTATTTGATTTCGATTTTGGAATTCTTAATTTATTTTATGTTTATTTCTCTTATGCATAAACAATTATTTTAGTTTATTCAAGGGAAAAATAATAGTTTTAGGAGAAAATTTTGGCACTATAAATGTGAGATCAAAAGATCTTAAGAAAGACAATTAATAATAGTATCAAGATTTTGCTTGTAAGGAAATTTATTGATCTTTCTTATATTTCTATATATAAAGAGATTTGATTCTTGCCGCATGAAGAATGTGAATTACATGGATATGAATTATTTTTTTATATTTCTTTATTTCATATCTCACACATTAAAATATAGATTTATATATTACCAATGATTTTCATTCATTTGATTTTTCTTAATAATCTTATTTTTTGTGAAAAACTTGAGAAATCTTTTTTTTTTTAATTTTGGCATCTTAGAATATTTTGCTTGTTGATTAAAGGGTAATGTTATTTAATATGAAACAATATAGCATGATGAGTAAAAGCATAATACTTAAAATATTCTTTAAATAAATCTTTATGTAATGACTCAAGTCCAAGTATCACTAGTCCAACAACTTTTCAAACTTAAAATATATGATCCTCAAAAGATTAATCAAGATTCCATATCAAATCTTTATGTATCATACTTTACTTTTTTATTTTGTTCGATTAAATCTTAATATTTTATTTTAAGTTAAATATAAATTTTTATAATTAACAATTAATTAATACGTAATTTATCATTTTATATCACGTAATGTTCATATACTATATTAATATGTCATAATAGACGATGACATACCACGTGCTTTTTTCATTATCCACTTGGTATAAAAAATTACAAATTGTATTTTAATTAATAACTGTCAATATTAGTTATAACTATATATTTAATTCAAAATAAAAATAAATGAGTTTGATTGAACGTAATTAAAGATTAATTTTTAAAAAAAAATTATTTATTTAATTTAAAATAAAAATATATGAACTTAATTGAATATAATTAAAAAATAAAAATTTTTTAAAATTTTTTTAATTAACTATATAATAATACTAATTTCAAAGTTTCTACTCTAATCTTCCATTCCATCAATAAACTCGTCAATATTATTTTCGAAATGAGCTCTAAATTTATCATTCTATTCAAGGTAATAGATCAAATTTATCATATAAATTTGAAAAAAAAAACAAAAACCTTTGAAGAATTCACTTTTACGAAGGAGAAAAGCGGACCAGTGTTCTAATCAAAATATAGATATTCTTTTAAAACGTGAATTGGTGGTCGATTCTGATTGGATATGAGTGGGCGTGGGAGTGGGACCATGGCTTGGCTGGTTTCCGTTAGATTTGACCCACTGCTCCAACCAATGTTCTCAGTGGTCACAGCTGTGAACCAGTTCAGCTTGGGAGAAGCCGACACCTCACATTCCCCCACTCCAAATCTTCATTCAATTATATATGTACAAAATTTTTATATGATATTTTATAGTTTTTTAATTAATGTTCAGAGGATAATTCTTTTTTCACAAAAAAATTAGTTTATTTATTTTTACACAATAAAATTATTAAAATATTCAAATTTAAAATTAATTTATGTATTCCTATTTAAAAGTATTTTTATAATTTTACTGTAATATTAATTGAAAAAAAATCTATAAATATTAATCAAAAATTTTTTCAGTTAATATTTTATGAATAATTTTTGTTTCATAAGAAATTAAACTGTTAATTTTATTCAATAAAATTATTAAAATATCTCAAATTTAAAATTAATCCGTTTATTCATTTTTAAAGTAATTTTAATAATTTTACACACAAAATTAATAATCTAATCCGTTGTAATAATTTAGTTATTTGCATTATATTAATTAAAAAAAGACAAAGGAGAACGAGGAACAGAGGTTTGAAAACGACAAAGGTAGAAAAGGAAAAACGACAAAGCTAGAAAAGTGTAAACGACAAAGGATCAGCATAGTGTTTTTTTTGAACATTGATGCTCCTCGCTGGCATCTTCAAGTGTACGTGCGCATTGTGTGCCAGCTCATGACTTTGTAATCAACTCCCCATTGCATGCCATCATCTTGATTTGGGAGGGTGGGGGGAAGATGGCCTAAGGCCGTTCCTAGTTCGTGCATTTTGTGAACTCGGTCTCGCGAGTCACCCGAACCATTCGATTTTTAGATGGAATTTCATTGTCCAAAATTTATTATATCCTCTTTAATTACATTCATCACTCCTATTTGACTTCTATGATCATTTAAAATCATATTTAAAGATAATTAATAAATTTTAATAAATATCATATTAATATAAAACAATTTTTAAATTAAAATTTAATATATAAAATTAAAATTTATATCTTATGATCACTATACAAATTTATCCAACCTAGTGACTTATTTAGACTTAACTATAAGATATCTTAAGTCCAAGAATGCAGGGTATTCAATTATAAATTACCCATTGTCAGCTCTAAACTAAACTAATACACGTAATTATATACAATTTAGTCTATAAATCAAGATGGCTATGGTGATATTACCATTTATATATTCCTGTTATAAGAGTATAATTTCTGCTTTCTTTTTGACTAAGCAAAGGATTAGCTAGCTGTTTACAGAAAAATACTGAGATGTCAATTAAGAATTTTCTCGCATTTTTATTTTCCTGATTAAAATCAAAAGCCGATATGGGGTGGCGAAATCAATGTAAAAAACTTGACAATGAAATTTGAATTTCAGATTGGTAAGTGCTTGATCATAAGCCGTGACGCTAAGTTTGACCTCACTACATCCTTCTCGCTTGCCTGCAGTAACCCAGCTAATATTACAGCCTGTTTTTTCAGCCTCTCTCTCTCTCAACTTTCGTGTTGCTTTTAGAGATCTCTACCTCTACGTGTGCCCTTACCCCTTTTTAATGGTTTGGTCGGCAAACTCTTTGTTTTGGCCCCAAAACCTCAACACCACGTAATTCACAAGCTGCAACAGCAGCAGCAACCGGGAGAAGAAGAGAGAAAACCCAAACCCCACACCAAAACCAGGGAAAAGAAAGACAATGGATCCGTGTCCTTTTGTACGGATCCTGGTGGGAAATTTGGCCCTGAAATTACCAGTATCAAGGAAGCCTTCTCTGTCAAGAATCCACCCTTCTACTTCTTCATGCTATTGCAAGATTAAACTCAAGAACTTCCCTCACCAAATGGCTACAATCCCTTTTATCCAATCGCAAGTAGACAGCAGCATCAGCAGTAGCAGCAGCAGCTGTTCTCATAAATCTCTGGCCGCTTGTTTCAGTCTGAGCAAGTCCCAGATCGACAGAATCGTCTCGAGAGGGAGTTCATCGTATAAACTTTCTATCGAGGTTTACGCAGACCCTGATGGCAGTAGCTGTGGATTGACATATGGGAAGTTGTTGGGGAAGGTTTCGGTACCGTTGGATCTACGTGGAGCGGAATCGAGGCCGTCTATTGTGCATAATGGGTGGGTTGCTATAGGCCGAAGTAGAAGCAACAAGAATGGATCATCTGCACAGTTGTGTTTAACGGTCAGGACTGAACCTGATCCGAGGTTCGTGTTCCAGTTCGGTGGGGAGCCTGAGTGTAGTCCTCAGGTTTTTCAGGTTCAAGGCGGTCTTAAACAGGCCGTATTCACTTGCAAGTTTGGTTTCAGGAACACAAGTGATCGGAACTTGGGATCAAGGTTAGCTGCTATTTCCTCATGATCTCTGTTACTTCCTTTATGTTTGGCTGATGAGCAAGATTCGGGATAAATGGAATTAACATTGTAAAACGTGACTGCTAGACATTTCTCATTCTTAAAAAGTGATTTTTTTTACTCTATATAAAATTCGAAAGATCTTTTGCATTAAGATTAAACAACTTCAGTAAAAGTTTTGACTTCGCCTTTTAATTTGTTGTTTGTCAAAGTGTTTCTAAATGTTTTTTTTTTGGTTACGCAGATCATCTTTGCCAGAATCAAACACTTCAAGAAATTGGCTATCTTCTCTGAAAACAGAGAAAGATCAAACCTCCAAAGAACGAAAAGGATGGTCGATTACAGTCCACGACCTGTCAGGCTCTCCAGTAGCAATGGCATCAATGGTGACCCCATTTGTCCCATCTCCTGGTTCGGACAGGGTTAGCCGTTCCAACCCAGGTGCATGGCTAATTCTCCGTCCAGGATGCGGAACCTGGAAACCATGGGGCCGCCTCGAGGCCTGGCGTGAGCCTGGTTTCACTGACGCCCTCGGATACCGATTCGACCTCTTCCACGACGACTACATGGCCGCCACCTCCACAACCACCACCCTCGCTAGTTCCATCCTTAGCACCAAACTTGGCGGGAAATTCACCATGGACATGACCACAAACGTAGCAGCAACCCCATCGACAAGCCCACAAAGCAGCTGCGACTTCGGTTCCGGATCAAGGCCCGGATCGGGATCAGGGTCAGATTTCGGGTTCGCGGCATCCCTTTCCCCGCAGAGTTTGTACAGGGGTGGCTTCGTGATGTCGTCGACGGTGGAAGGTGCAGGGAAATGCAGCAAGCCGGACGTGGAAGTAGGTGTACAGCACGTGACATGCACGGAGGACGCAGCAGCTTTTGTGGCACTGGCCGCGGCCATGGATCTGAGCGTGGATGCCTGTCGGCCCTTCTCTCAAAAGCTAAGGAAAGAGTTGAGGCAGCAAACTCAAAACTTTGTCGTGTAATATCCATTGGAAGTTTGTCGTTTTAGGGTTTGTCGGATCATAACTGATGAGTTGGTTAGGTGTTCCTTTCGGATTGGGATTCTTTCTGCAGATAACTAACAGCAGTTTTTGAGCTGGATATGTAACGATTAGCTCTTGTACAGTGCGGAATGACAAGGCAGGATTCTTCTGTTTTTTTCTTTTTTTAATTTTCCTTTGTGATTAGTGAAATTTGTTCATTGTTTATTCAATTCTTTTACTTTTGTCTGAGAATCCTATGTAGGAATTGAAGTAAACCCATAGATTCATGTTCATGGCGATGTCGTTGGTGTAAGGATAAGCATAAATAAATAACTTAATTAAGGGGAGTGCTAAAATATTAATTAACCTAATTTAGATTTTGTCATCTTGCCAAAGCAAGATTAAGCAAAAAAATATTTTCACTAGATTACATGCTAAGATCCACGTCAACTCGACAGATTATGAATCAAATTTATCATTATACTTTTGAATCTGATCCATAAAGTTCTCAAAAGTTAAAATATTATTGACAGTATTCTTTTTTTTTTATGAAATATTTTGTGTTTCCATTAATTTTTAATCACTTTGAAATCAAATTAAAAGTACGATAATAAAAATCATATCTATTCAAAGATAAATAATATTGAGTAGAATTATGAGATGTTTATTTGGAATTAAAAATATGGTTTTTTGATCAAACTCATAAACTGTTCGACATATTATGCAGAATTATGAAGTGTATATTGGGGTTTGTTGATGGCATAAGATGAGAGATGTTGCATGTAATTTTGGTCATGGACAACAAAACCGTTGCACTGATGATTCAAATGAAAACAAGTGAACCGAATGTTAATTCCTACTTGTTTTTGGCTATTAAAGATTTGATAAAGAATGAATAATAGGTCAATATCGTTCATGTGTATTGCGAATTTAATCGTTTAACAAATATTTTTATGAATATGACTTTTTAATATCTTGTTAATAGGACGTTGCTTAAGTTTCAATTTTATTAAGTGCATTATGAGAATTTCATTCTCATGCATTATATTGACACAAATACACTATTTTTATTTCCTTTAAAAATTGATAAATTTAATCTATCATTTTAAATAAAATAATAAAAATAGTATCCAATTTCCTTTCATAATAATAGTGTTGAAGTAGACCCTTCCAAAAAAAAAAAAAATAGGGTTGAAGTAGACTGGCAAGCCAAATACTAACTTCAATATTTAAACATTGGTAGTTCTTGTTTTTCTCTCTAATAATGCAGCATTTATTAGTTAGGTAACATTTGTTAATTTTTGTTAACATTCGTTGAAAAATTTTGTTTGCTGCCACTGCAAGCAAAGAGGAACTAAATGCTCATGAATTTCCTTTATAACTGAAGTTTTCATATTTATGGATGTAGATTAGAATATAAGGCAGTGAAACAGACCACCTTCATCTTGAATATCTGCAGAGCACCCAATTGGAGTAAATGGATACTTTTCCTTGGGTTCAGTAAATATATTTTTTATACTACAAAAACATGAAACATTTATATTATAAAAAAAATTAAAACTTTAATGGAAATAATTAAAATTATAATTTTTATCTTAATTTCTATAAAAATTTAAAAGTATGAAGAAAATAGGTATCTAAAAGTATAGGAGCTTAGAGTCTATATATGAACATCTTTCTTTTTCTTCTAGGAAAATGTTAAATTCATTGGAGATGCCGCAGTGTCAACGAATTGTGCCCCTTTCTGCCTTGTAATCTCAAAGATTAGGCTAAAGTTCATCTGTTAACCAAGAGGAAGAGGGCGGCCGAGGGAGGGAAGAAAGCTTCAAATTAGACCAATCTCTCTCTTCTGGAAATGAAGGCACTAGGTTTGTGGCTGATGCTGGTGGGTTCACTTCGGCTAGCCTCAGTTTGGTTCGGTTTCTTCAACATACGGTCTCTCCGTCGTGGTGTCTACTCCAAATCCCAAGGTTACCAGCTTCCTCTCCTTTCTGATCATTAATTTGTAATTCTATCTCTCGTTTCAATATGGTCAAGGATTTATTCAGAATTTTTCTCCATTTTCTTTAACAGTGACCGAAGTCCATGGAAGGACATTTGGCATCTGGACTCTGCTCACTTGCACGTTGTGCTATCTCTGTGCATTTAACCTTGAAAACAAGACCCTCTACTTAGTTACCTTTCTGTCATTCGTGTATGCCTTTTTCCATTTCTTGACTGAATACCTGATATATGGTACAACGACCGTCAGGAATCTCTCAGCTGTTTGCTTCTTTGCAGGTATCAGTTTCTCCTGACATTTATCAGTAAATAGTACCATGCCTCACAGCTCACGCCTCTCTGTTTGAATACTTATCTCAGTTCTTCCCAAAATTATGAGCCTGTTCCTCATGCATGATGCAGCTTGGAAATTGAAAATTGAACTTAATACTGTAATAATCTTCAGACCTACTACAATAATTGCCCTGTAAGATTTTGGTAAAGATAGACTATACGAAATAAACTTGTCAGTATCTTCAGTGATTTTCTTTTCATTTAATTTCTTACCCGATGTTCTGACCCTTACAGTGAAATTGTGTCTACCCATATTAAACGATTGAATCAACATTTGTCCTTTTAATTTATTCTTTAGCTAATGTATTTATACCGTAGCCATGGCTGTTTGTTTACGGGGATTTATTATTCAAGTGATGAGAAAATAAATCTCATGCATTTCAGTTAAAAGTATCTTAAACATATAAATATAACAAAAACGTTTTCACTTATTGCAAATTAGTATTAGAATGTGTTTTAGAAATTTAACATGATATCAGAGTAAGATGCAGTAATCTTTCTGTGAGCTTCTTTGACGATTCATGTCATATAATATATTCATATTTTGACATGTGAGGAAAAGTATTGAAATGATAAAAAAAAAATCTAAAACATATAAATATAATAATAATCTTTTCATCTATTGTCAATTAATTTTATATTAGATAACCATTTTAAAATTTCAACATGCACAATAATACTTCACTAAAACTCTCCTTGTGTTGATCAGGCACATCAATAATATGGATGCTGTTGCAGTGGAATTCACATCAACCTCAAGGAACCTTGAAAGCAGAATGAAATCTGACATCTTCCTCATTTTTTTTTGCCTTTGGCTACTGTAAACGAAATTGAACTATTTCTAGAGTACTTCAGCTTCTAGCTATCCATGTATGCTTTGTTCCAACCTAGACCAGGGTATGCAGTTCTCTTAAGAGATGACAGATACTCTGGGTCTCTTTCATCTGCCAAAGAGGGAAGGCAGTTACTCCTGATAAACATACAGATTCACCTAAGCTTTCTTTTTTGTTGTCCGGACATGCCTGTGTTATGTCATTCTGTTGAGCAATTAAAACGGGATTGAATGAGGTAGCATCTCCTGTCAACAGTTTAAGCACCTTTTTTACATGATACGACAAGAATAAAGGGGCTTTTTTTTTTCGTATACTTGTTTAAAACAGAAGGATGCTTCAATTTAAGAATGATCGGGACTTTCCATAGTGGATAGATTTGATTTGTTTTACAAAATATAAAAGCAAATAAAGTGTGCAGGGATAATTTCTGCTGTTTAGGATATGGTAAATTGAACATTATCTCAGATTAAATCTGCTTCGCTGCAAATTATTCTCTAAACTTGGATTTGAGGCCTCAATTAGAAGCAGAAATTGGATGGCCTGGACAAGTTTATGTCATCACTAACGCTGTCGTACATTGCCCTCCTAAAGAGCTTGTTTGACAATTTGAGGCTGTGGTTTATTTATCAGCAATCTTGAGAGAAGACACAAGTAACCATCTGAAGACGGGCACCAGGCCCGGACGGCCGAGTGATCTAAGGCGCCAGTCTCAAGTTCTGGTCTTCGTGAGAAAGCGTGGGTTCACATCCCACATCTGACATTCATTGTACTCTTTATCCCATTTTTACAGAAAAGTATGGGATTGCTTTGGCTGGGTTACTTGGGTACGTCGCATTCAAAGACATCATAAAATGCTTGTCAATAGTCAGCATTCAGAGCATATGTTCATTAAGGCATTCAACATATATGTGATTCGGATTTGCTATCAGAAAACGACTAGTTCTGGTCACACGTTAAGCCATGTCAGAAATTTGAACAAGAAAATTAAAAAAAAAAGTATTGACATACAGGAAGTTGCCATACATTATACAGATTGAACCCACTGACAACATTCATCTAGCCTACATTTTGACTTCAAAGTTGAAAACGTATTCTCTAGACACAGTTTGATATTTCAATCAAGATGCACTCTAAAAAACAGTACCTGTCTACGTATCAAAATGGAGTGCAAAGATAACAGCTTTAGAGCATTCACAAAAACTCAACAACCATAGAATCAGATTTTCATTCACCTGCAGCATCTTCATTGTCGCTCCCTTCTGTTCTGATATCTGGCAATGTACTCAGATCGACACGAGCATCTTTCTCTTCTTGAGAGAGGGTATTATCAGAAGAATCAATGGGGTCATGCTGGCCTTGATCCACTGTCCCGTTAGAGAAGGAAGTGTCTGAGCTTTCATCTGTTCCACCTGATTCCTTGTCACCCTCTGATTTCTCATTCTGAGTCGAATCAGTATTCTCCTTAGTCATGGAAGACCCAAAATTATCCCCTCCGGCTGTTGAATTGACCTTGGTCATATCCTCTGACATTTCGGACTCTGCATTAGTAGAGGAATTAAAGGAATCTCTGGTGGCCCAATCTACATTTTCAATTTTACTCGAATCTACCGTGTTGGAATCATGCTGCTCGCTATTTGAAATCTTCTCATTGGCTTGCTCTTTATGTTTTTCTTCAGTTACCATACCATCTTCTGTTGTATTTTGAGCTGAAGTAAATTTCAAAACAGTAGCTGTTCCATTCTGCAATGAATCTGGCATTTCTGTATTCACTTCTGCAGGCTTATTGCCTGTTTCTTTACTCACTTCAGTAGAGTTATTGCTTGCTTGGTCAGTGAAGTCAGTAGAGTTTGTTGTATTTGGAAGAGAGATATGCTCAGAGTTGGATAATCCAGTCTCATGATCATTTTCTTTAGTGTCTGTGGCATTCAATGAACTACCATCTTCAGAGTGTTTACCATCATCAGCCTTCAACTCTGACTTGTTTTCATCACCATTAGTTTCCTCAGTTGCAGTGTCTTTGCTCTCCTGTTCCAAAACATTCATTGTTGAGTTGTCATTAGAATTTTCCATATCTAATTTATTGGCTTCAGAGTTTATAATTTGGGTGTCATGGGACACTGCACTGGAAGCATCATCTGCCTTGTAATGCTCCTCTCTAGCCTCATGTGCATTCCTGCCACCTCCATCATGATTCTGATCATTTGCTGAATTGTCACTTTCTTCTTGACCATCTTTCTCTTCAATTTCTTTTTCCTCATTATCTTTATCATCACCCTCTGCTTCTCTCTCTTTCTCTTCATCTATAAATTCTTCTTCACGATCAGCTTCACCATCTGCTCTTTCTTGCTCATTTTCATTGACCTCATCATCTCCTCTTCCCTCATCATCTACTTCTTCATCCTTAATTTCTTCTTCTTGCTCTTCATCGTCATGCTTGTTACCTTCATCTTCCCGCATTTCTTCTTGCTCTTCTTCTTCTTCATGTTTACTCACTTCTTCCTGCTCCACTTCTTCGTGTTTGCTTGCTTCTTCCTGCTCGTCTTCCTCATGTTTGCTAGCTTCTTCCAGCTCCTCTTCTTCGTGTTTGCTTGCTTCTTCCAGCTCCTCTTCTTCGTGTTTGCTTGCGCCTTCTTGCTCCTCTTCCTCAAGCCTCTTAGCTTTTTCTTCCAGTTCATCATCATGCTTATGTTCCTCCTCGACTCCATTTTCTTCTTCCTCTTCTTCCTCATGTTTGTAGTTCTTAGATACTTCCTGCACATGAGGAAGGTCTTTCCTCCCAAATTTTTGAATCACATCATCATTTTGTACTCTCACAGAGGCTTTGGCATCTTTCTCATCAAATTCTTTTCTCTTATCATGGGAGTGCTTGACTTGGTAGATTAACCAGAAGCAGACCCCAAGTAGCAGACAAATCTGAAGGACATGCTTTGTCTTGATAACTTTGGATCTTTGGTTTCTACTAGGTGACCTCTTGAACATGATGGAAATCCAAAGGTCCCTACTCTGATTTCCTTTCTCTCTTTGTATATATCAAGTAACTGCCAGAATCCTGCCTAGGATAAAACATATAATCTGAATGATTAAAAAAGACTAATCAACCATTTAAAAAGTAAATTGTGTATCTGAAGAACAATCATAATCCAAAATTAATCTTTTTCTTCAAAACATAAAAAGAAACTAAAGAAAGAAACAAGTAAATTTCATCCATACTCCGGTGACCAAAATCATAACCTAAATGATAGTGTAGCCCAAACCTCAACAATATCCTTGAAATAAACCAATGCAGAACTAATGCATTCTAAGTCTAGACTTTAGTAATATAAAATCAAGAACAATGAAGAAATACGGACTTGGAGACCACAATACCACAACTAGCTGAAATCATGCTCCACTTTAATTTGGCAGAATATAGGAAGAGAAGGGAATGTTAAAAATCCTTACAGGAAAAGGGACCTTGTCCTTGAATTAGTGAAACTAGGAGTCCAAACAAGTTAAGGCCAAACAAACAAACAACACATAATGTGTTCCATTTCAGATTTGAAAATGATTTCTTGGGGAGGAATTGTCCTTTTCAAGAAGGAAAATGTGAAAAATCCAAAAATTAAAAAATGCAAACTTTCCAAATTGGTTTTGTCACCTTTTGAAAACCTATCACATTAGCTTCTTTTCTTATATACTGAAAACCGGCTGTTTCCAAAGCTCTTCAGTACCCAGTACCCACCCAACAATGCCAGACACACAGGCAACTTTGGAATAGGGGGTGGAGTTGGGAGAAGGACATTAGAAGATTGTGCTTTTAACATTTCCATTGATACTTCCTGAACCCCCTTCAAAAGAGAAGAAACAGAAAGAGGACATAAAAACATGTTGAAAATCTTGACTCCGCTACAACCAGCGATACATGTTTTCTACTCTCTCTCTTTCTACTCGTCCAAATAATTTCAACATTGTAAACAAATAGGTTTTCATGTTATTTCCATAGCTTTTGAATGACAAACTGCTATAGAATCAAGTAATCCCATTTGACAATCAAAGAATCCAAACTAATCCAGATTATTTTTTCTTCCCTCTTGTCTTGATCTTGGCACCTTACATGACATTGACCAAACAGAGATCGATTCCCATAAATAAAAAACAAAGGAAGGGAATATAAAACTCTTTTATTTTCTCATATAATACAGAGAATGTTTTAGCATATGAAAGAAGCACAGATACGGATAAATACTATGTTTACATAAAATAAATCAGGAAAATAACAGTTACTCATCAAATGAAGCAAACCCCTTTCTTTCTAATTAAAGAAATAGGAAATCTAATGATACCTATCTCTTCTGAACAATGCACCAAGTTCAAATCCCCATCCCAAGCTATAAAAAAATACTAAATATTAACATATTTTTATTAAAAAGACAGCGCATTTGCTGAAATGAAAGGAAACCCAGAAATGGCAACCCCATGGAAGCCCTAGCCAAAAGGAAAACAACACAGTGAAGCAATACCCATCAAACCTGAACGCAAAAAACTCAAATTTTGCGATTCGCAAACAAAACCCATTACCCAAAGCAGCAGGTAAACATAAAAAAAAGAAACAAAAGACAGAATCCATGCTAAAGCTATGAATAAGGGAGTTTCTTAAGCTGAACAAACTACCAAGATTCAAACAAAACGCAACAAAATGATTCCTTGAAGAAAGGAAGTTTATAAAAAGCAAGAGAAATACCTGGAGAAAGAGAGACCCAGACAAAAGATACAGCACAGTCTAAGTAGTTAAAGACAAGAAGGCTTCAAGAGAAAAGGTATTGTAAAGGAAGTCTTCACCAGTTCTCACTGCTTTCACCGGATCCAACACGAAGGGGACAATGGCCTCTTCTACCACTACCCCTCCACTCCCAGATTTACCTTTCCGACCCTCACACGAAAATGATTTTTTATTTTTCTATTTTAAGACCATTAAATTGTTGCTCATATTTTTTTAACACAAAATGTCATCATCTGATTTATTAAATCACTATCTAAAGGTATTTTGATAATTTTATTATAATAAATTAACTATATAATCTATTTTAGAAATAAAGTTTAATCACAAAGAACTAATCAAAAATATATATATTAAATATTTTGCAAAAAAAATAAAATTATAAAGATTGTAAACAGTTTTAACTTGATAAATAAAAAAAAAAGCATTGGATACCCAAATTATTGTGGGTGTTGAATTGTTGTCTAATAAATGCAATAACTTTAATTGCATAAAAAAAATTTCAATTTAATACATTTATATATATATATATAAAACTCAACTATTAAAATGATTTGTTTTAATTATATTATATGTTTGAAACACTATGTGTGTAACATTACGGAGATCTTTTGTGACATGATTATATCATTATGTTAATGATTTGGGGTAAATTGAAGCTAAAAAATACTTATCAAGTCATCTAAAGTTGAGTTATGCATATTAATAATTAAAAGCTTTTATTTTTTCATCTAAAATATACTCTTTCTGTCTCTAATTAATTTTTTTTATTTTTACAGAAATTAAGATAAAAATTTTTATTTTAACATGAAAAAATAAAACGAATAAAAAATAAAAATATTAAGTATTTAAAAATGAAAAAAAATCAATTTTAAAACATTTCAAAATGAATAAATACATGTGACAAAAGGAGTATTCATCTCGCCAGGTTAGTCTGAAAAGTCTTATCTTCCTTGTCACAAATGAATTTTGCTTGGCAAAGTCGTTGAATGTTATACATTGATTAGTATCATTATCATTATATTAAGTATTATTTTTAATGCTTTGAATGTGATACAAATGATCCCACTTGCAATAGACGCACAGCCACATGGCAATACATTGATAATTCCAATCTCCAGGCTTATCGAAACCACAAAATGTCATCTCTCTTTGGGCCTGGTTGTCCCCTGGCACAGGACCACAGGACCACGCCATGGCAACATTAGCTTCAAAACAAAGGGGCCGAAGGCTTACCATCACATCTATTATTTATGTAAACGACAGGCTTCTTCTCCACAATAGCAACCCAGATTTGATGAGCTTGCATTTTTCCTTCTTCAAACAGCTTGTTGCTTGGAAAGGTTAAATGTGAACCTCAAAAAAGAGTTGTTACCTTAGTCAATAGGAAAGGAAATTTGGGGACAAGTTTCAGCTTAAAGATTCATGTTTACAGGCATGTGTTTCATGGGGCAGACAATGGGCTCAACTTGTCCCATGTAACAGTTTATTGATCAGTTTCCTCTCTGCCATGATCCATCCCTCATGCCATTTTCAACCATCTTTGACTTCTATCCTAGCATTCTCTGTATATGTTAACTCTGCTTGTGAAGGTGTTTGTGGTAATTGATTTTATCTTTAAGAAGGTACTGATTTGAGGTTGGGTTTTAAGTAACAGTTAGCCAACTTCCAATTTTGCTTCTGATGAATCAGCATTTTGGAAACTCATGATGCAGAATGTCCTCATTGACAGAAGATTAGATGATAAAAACTTAGCTTGCACTGCAGTAGCATTAGTAATGATTTTCTTATGTTCTGCTTTGATCAAACTTGCTTTAAAAATAATCCATTGCCAACCTAACAATCAAAATGACTGCCAGGTATATATGGCACAAACCATACACAACCCATACAAAAGGAGGAAAGGAATAAACCCAAAAGTCTAAGGAGGAGCACAAAAGGGTAGCTTGAAAGACCAAGTTATTCTAAAAAGAAAAGCAGGAGAAAAGAAATCTTGTCATTTTCTTGACTTTCCTAAACTTTTCTGCTAACCTATCAGATAAAAGGTTCTTGTTAAGAAACCCCGAGGGTACTCCCAAAGCTTGGTATATAATGCCCTTACAAATTTTAATTATGCACATATTGTCCTTACAAGTAATTGACTTCTTGCATCCCTAAAGAAAAAAATAGTTAATGTGGTACACTGGTCATCACATTCTAATAGAAGTTCAAACAGCCCCGGCTAGAAAAATGGTAAGCCTAGCAAACTCCTTAAGAACTCATGATCATGCAACATCCTGACAGCCTAATATTCCTCTTTGCTTCTTCCTAAAGATATTCTTGCTTTAGACAAAACATTGCCTTCCTGTTCACATTTTCACTCCAATTCCATGCAATACCTATATATAGGATACATATATGTATCATGCAGCAACCTGTCACCTGATATTATAGCCGTCGATCGAAAGAAACCATGTCTAAATATTTCAACCTCATAGCCTTCATCATCAGCCTTCTTTTCTTGAATCTCTTTCGAAATTCAGAAGCTTCAGTTGTTTCCACCGGAGATTTCAACAATGACTTTTTTGTGATGTGGGCTCCTAGTCATGTAAACACTTCAGCTGATGGCAGGGAAAGAAGCTTGAAACTTGATCAAGAATCTGGTATGATGGGGGAAAAATGGGAAACTTGTAATTTTTCATTTTCCAGGGTTCATATTTCTTATTCGTTTTAATCGGAACAGGGTCTGGTTTTGCATCAAACCAGATGTTCTTGTTTGGTCGAATAGACATGCAAATTAAACTAGTACCTGGCAATTCTGCAGGAACTGTGTTAGCCTATTATGTAAGCAGCATCTTTCTCTCTTGTTTCTCCATTTTCTGTGTTTCTCCTTTGCTCTTGTTCGATTAACATCTAAATTACTTTGGAAAACATTGTAGTTGACATCAGATCAGCCTAATCGAGATGAGATAGACTTTGAATTTCTTGGCAATGTGAGTGGTCAGCCGTATATAGTTCAAACAAATATTTATGCAGATGGGTTTGACAATAGAGAAGAGAGAATTTATTTATGGTTCGATCCAACAAAAGATTTTCATACATATTCAGTATTATGGAATCTTTATCAGATAGTGTAAGTTATATTAAATTTTTAAAGTGAATTATATTTATATGTTTAGAATATTTCTAATTTAACAGATATATTATATCTTTATCTGAATTTCATTTGCTCATCATAATTCATCTAAGTGGTATAGTATTTTTCTTCTTTTTCAGGTTTATGGTGGATTCAATTCCTATTAGATTATATAGAAACCATGCAGACAAGGGAGTGGCATATCCTAGGTGGCAGCCAATGAGCATCAAAGTCAGCCTATGGAATGGGGACAGCTGGGCTACACGTGGAGGTCTCGAGAAAATCGATTGGTCCAAGGGTCCTTTCTTAGCTTCATTCAAGGATTACAAGATCGATGCCTGTGTTTGGCAAGGGAACCCAAGGTTTTGTAGGGCAGATAGCTCTCTTAATTGGTGGAACGGGGCAAGGTTCAGCACTCTGACCAGGGTCCAGAAGAGATGGTTCAAATGGGTTAGGAAATACCACATGGTTTACGACTACTGTCAAGATAACCAGAGATTCCAAAACAATCTTCCCAAGGAATGCTCCCTTCCTAAGTATTAACCCAAAAGTTTGTCTTAGTATAGCTTTTTGTTTTAATTTTTTCGAGAAAAATCAGATTACAGAAGATGTATGTAAAATTATTATACATACAAGCTTTTCAATTCTCCAAGACTGTGATTTCCATTCTAATTACATTGAAGCTTCATTGACTAAAAGGATCTTAATCTTCAAAATTGAAGCAAGGTCTTACTTCTTTCTTAAATGAATTAGTTACAACTTACAATGTTACAATTTGACTCAAACATTTATATATATATATATATATAAATATATATATAATCTTAAATAATTAATTTTATTCGCGATTGAGAAGGGTTCGGATTTTTGAGTTAAGAGGTAAAATTCAAGTTTGATTCTCCATTCTTTTAGAGGGAAATTTTTGTATATTTCATTTCATAATTAATTTTCATATGTTATATATATATATATATATATATCAATTTTTTTTTGTATTTGTCATATTATAAATCAAGAATTACCATCCAACCGTCTTGGGTCCATCTCCTCTAGCAAAAAAGTAAACCCTTGGGCCTTATCGGCCTATGAGAGGTTGGCCGTAGGCCTATCAAGAACTGACCAAGGGATTTGCTAAACAAAAAACAAGAACAACTTCAAACTCAAATACTCAATTTACAAAGCCCTACACTCTGCCCTGAAACCTCGGCACCGTTTGTCAGTTGTCCTGCAAGTCCGCAACTACAGAGAGAGATGGGTAGCGCAAGCAAAGATCTCTTACGCTTTGAGCACAAGACTTCCTCTACTTCACCCTTGGGTACAATGCATACGCTTCTTTTCTTGTTCCTACCAAAGTGAATTTCTGCAAAACCTTGTTTTCTATCGATTGAAATTTCATCACCTGACTGTGTTTTGTGTATGGGGTTTTTGACCTGTACAACAGAATCTGCACTTCTTGTTACAAACAAGAAGGACTCGTCCGCTGAATCCCGTGATCCTGCCAAGAAACCCAGCATCACTCCTGTTCCTAAAAGCCAACGTAAACTATATCCCGTAATCCCATCTTAGTGCTATTTGAATTTTATTTTATTTATGTTTTTGTAAGTGCTTATCTGGAAATTTCTGGGTTTTATAGATTGTTAGATGCTACTAGTTTTTCTGCCTGTCTTTGTAACTATACCTGTTTAAAGAATCTGTAGTTTTGGGATGAAATTATGATTTATGATCATTGTTTGAGTCTTGAGTTCTCGAGGAGTATGAAAAACTATAAATTGGCAGTGTTCTCTTTTTTGGCATCTGAGATTGAAACTATCAGAGTCCAATAGTCGCTTGGGGAATGAAATCTTCCTTTTGAGTTTTGCAGTTTTGGGAAAAGTGCAAGATTTCTTGGGAGTCATGGCAGAAGCTAATAAAAGGCTGGAGCTTGATGCAAAGGTTTGTTTTAACTTTTTTAGTCGAATATTGGTCATGCCTATATGCTCTTTTAATCTCTAACCTATCTTTTTATTGATCAAAATGTAGAATAATTCTCAAGCATATGATATTGAAGTACTCGATGGGAATGAATCTGAAGTAATTGAAATGGTAAGACTCTCTTTTGAATTGTGGAAGTCGGGTGGTCTATGAATTTGTTATCAATTTTTGGTTGCATATTGTACAACAGAATTTGATGTTGGGTGTAGCTGATCTTCACACTCCTGAAGCTGTGACTGCTGCTGAATCTGCAATTGCTGGTAATCAGCCAGCAATTACTTTGGCTGGTAGTAGTAGTGAAACAGAATCAGATGATAGCAGTGATGATAGCAATGATGATAATGAGGAAAGCAACAATGATGGTAATGATGATAATGAAACATCAAGGAAACTTGAAAAATCCAACATAGGCGAAGACCATACTGTAAGTGAAGCAGCAAGAAAGCATCGATCCAAAAAGCGGTCAAGGATAGTTGAGCTCTCTTGAAATCCATTTTTGGTCAAGAAGTAATGTCGAAACTGTTGAACTATTATAGCTTGCAGAATCACAAATGACTTGTGCAATATGTCGTGGGAAAGTGAAGTTTTCTTACATGTGTTGTCCTTTTATTTTAGTGTTCTATTACCTTAGATGAAACGTTGAGGTGTAAGTTATAATTCAGAACGTTGATCATTCTTTTTTCTTATGCAAAATCTGGATCAATTCATTCCTGTAGTACAAATTGAGTTGATTATATACTTACCATGCTAACCAGTGCACATCCTAGTTGCTCGAGGGCAAATAACTTACGGATTTGAGAAGGCAAATATCTAATCCAGTCATCCTGCATTTGCTAGACATGTGGTACCCGGTTTCGCAATACTGGAGTCCAGTGCTCGGGTCCCTTTGGGTCTAAAACCATGGGCCACAAACATGGTTTGACCCAACTCCTAGGGAGTCTGGGCCTACATGTACAGGTTAGGCAATGCAATCGGGCATGGTGCTATGGGCTGGTTTTGCAATGGTATCAATTTCTCATAAGGCTCTAAAGAATTTTCGGGTTTGCAAACTTGCAATGGCGGCAGCTTCCATTGTTTAAAGCGATCATGCATAAGAAATTAATCATGTAACGAAATGGTCATCCACGTTTTATTTCTTAAACCAGTGGTGAATATCTGGTGGCAAGCTTCGAAACCTTTTTGTTTCTAATGAATGTGCAACTTTATTGATGTTAATTGTTAAAGACAATTAAGGGGAGAAGCTACATATAATTTAACTCATAAGAAAGGATAATTATGGGAAGCAGATTCAGACCTTAAACGCCAGCCCTCTTAAATTGCCCCTAAATGCTACATCTAATACACTACAAATAATTTTCATTGAATTTTTTTTTAAAATTTCTGCCAAGATATGGTAAGTTTATTTGGTGAATCGCATCCTTAGGTACTCGATGCTAATTTGAAAGTAAAGGTCTTAATAAGGCGTCTCCCCAATGTAGTTGCCAGGAGGGTCATAGTTGCAAGTAATGAAAGTTCCTCCATTGTCACACCTTACCTTGGCGCACCCTAAACGAACCGAGTTGCGCCAAACCACCTGAGTATAATGGGCACAAACCTGGCCTGGGGCGCAAGTGTTCGAGCCGTGATCGTAATAGAGATTCTCGTCGACCCACATTTTCACTGCATCCGCGACCGAAAGGTCATCGCTACCCCATGCAATGTTCTCTCCGTATGGACCGCCTGAATGAACAAGGTCGCAATCCCCAATGCGCTGGTTCGCATATTCTTGCGCGTAGGCGGCCACTTGGGCATCCCAAGTCATTGGCTCGACGTTCACCTCTGCTCGAGCTTCATTTTGAGCATCCAAGAATTCTTGCTTCAAGGTTTTGGCCAATGAAGGCAACGCAAAGGATGCGATGATGAGGCATGCAAGTGCTAGTTTGGACCACGCCATTTTGGTTTCTGGCTAGGTTCTCTAGGATAAAGGCTTGGAGGTGAAGGATGAAAAATGAGCAATCCGTGAAGGGTATTTATAGGAAATTAAAAACAAGGCATTATATATATTAAGAAAAAATTTGTTCAAACAAATTCGGATATGAATTCATAACAGCTTAATGAAAATAAATTGCAGTTATCAATTGCTAAAACACGTCCATTTAATTTTGAAAAATAGTTTCATTTTTTAAATACATTTTATGGGTAAATTATATAATTAATTTTTTACTTTTTCATAATATTTCATTCTTGTCTCTAACTTGAAAAAATTGATTTTTAAATCTAAAATTGTTTCAAAATCATTTATTCATCAATATGTCATTAAATTTTGAATGTAATATGAATGAAATTTGACACGTGACACTTTGATGGATATACACATAATAAATTCCATCCAAATTTAATAATATGTTGATAGATAGATGAATTTGAATAGAACAAAATAGATAATATTTTGTAGTTTCCTTGATGACTCTCCAAGGGTTTTAAAAATTTATTGAAATGCAATTTTAAATCAAGCATAAGTAATTAACGATGTTGCCCAACATAACCATATTCTTTTGATGGACTTTTTATATATCATCCGAATTAACATCCAAAGCTCTCATAGTAGTATAGCTTGTTATTACTTAGAGATTAACTTAACTTGGAGAGAATCCCCAAATCAGTAAGGACGCTGATTAACATAGTTGCCTGGAGGATCGTAGTTGCAAGTGATGAAGGTGCCGCCACTGTTGCAGCGTACCTTGGCACACCCTAGACGAACTGAGCTGCGCCAAACAACCTGAGTATAGTGCCTGCACTCCCCACCAACACAAGAGTTAGAGTTGTTATCGTAGTTAGGCCTTTCCGCCACCCACAAGTTCACGGCAGCCGTGCCTGAAAGATCAGCGCTGCTCCATGCTAGGTTTTCGCCATAAGGACCGCCAGAGTGCACCAGTCTGCAGTCTCCCTTACGTTGATTGGCGTAGTTTGTTGCATAGGCAGCCACTCTGTCATCCCATCCCATGGGACCGACATTGACCCTTGCACGAGCAGAATTGTGAGCATTGAGGTAGTCTTGTGGGGAATTTTGGGCTATTACTGGGCCAAGGAGACAGAAGATTATTGCCAGAGAAATTCTACTCATCCCCATTTTGAGTTTTGTTTTTCTACGAAGGAAATTAAGCGAAAGCTTTGGTTATGGTGGAAAGAAACAGAGCTTGAGGAGCTTATATATGTACATAGTGACATGTTGAAGAAAATTCAGCAACGAGACAATTCAAAGGAACTTGACCTAAAGACCTTACAAGATATTAATTTTTCAGCTAATTAATTATTCGTACTTAAAAACCAAATTAGAATAGTCAACATATTAATCTTTACGTTTTTTTTTATATAATTAGAGGAGAGATGATTCAAATTTTACTTTTTAACCAAATGATAAGCACCAATCAATGAGCCAAATGCTTATATGCATATTATTAACCTTTACGTTGAATTTGATCACGTTAACAAAGTTATGGTGCATGTGGACTTTGGACTTGTCAAGAGTACTATAAAGGACATGAGTTTGGTATTATTGTTGCAATTTGTAAGACTTTAATGGCTTGGTTTGAGTAAAATTGGAAAAAAAAAACCTAAAATTTATAAATTTGTCATGGCCTTGTTTAATTAGATAAATGAATTTAATAATTTAATGTTAACTTTGTAATATTTGTTTCATAAATAGATGTCTTTCTGTAAGATAATAATCCTATTTATTAGTAAGTTGTATGAGTTGATATTGTCAAAAAATGGTTAAGTAAAAGAAGTTTCCCATTAAGAATGATGAAGATTGAAAAAAAAAACCAATGAAATAAAAATTTTAATTATTGCTTGTTTATATTAATGTTTGAGAAGTCAAAGCCAATCCCACTTGGAAAGATATTTTGTTTAGGCGCTTATATATAGTAGACCAAATACCAAAGGATGTGAACCTTTAAAGCATTTTAAGAACAATTTGGGCTACTTGAACTAAAATTAATAGAGTAGTTGAAGATATATCTATCAACAACTTGGTTGATGCTTTCGGAACGAACTATTTGCCTAACAAATTTCATTTCTATAAGTAAATTGTAATTAAAAACTGGGTTTATGGGCTTTTGAAACTTGGAAAGATATTTTGTTTTGGTACTTGTATAAGGTATACCAAGTACCAGATACCAAAGGATGTGAAGTGAACCTTTAAAGATATGGTAGTTTATTTGGTAAATCACATCCGTAGGTACTACTTATTGGATGCTAATTTGAAAGAAAACAAGTCTTAAAAAGGTGTCTCCCCAATGTAGTTGCCAGGAGGGTCATAGTTGCAAGTAATGAAAGTTCCTCCATTGTCACACCTCACCTTGGCGCACCCTAAACGAACCGAGTTGCACCAAACCACCGGAGTATAATGGGCACAAACCTGGCCTGAGGCGCAAGTGTTCGAGTGGTGATCGTAATAGACCTTTGGTTATGGTGGAATGAAACAGAGCTCGAGGGGCTTTATGTATATGGTGACATGTTAAAGACAATTCAAAGGAACTTGGACCAAAAGACCTAATTACAACAGATTACTTTTTGAACTAATTAAATATTGTCCTACCCAAAAACCAAACTAAAATTAGATTAACCTTACCTTGGAATTGATCACATTCACAATGTCTTGGTGCATGTGGACTTTGGACTTGTCAAGTGTAGTATAAATTGTGTTAATTACTTCAATAACTTAAGACCATAATCGCAATGTATTGTTATGACATGTCTTTCTTTTCCTTCAATTTGTATATTGTTAGAACAAACTGTGTTAGTTTAGTAAAATAAGACCATATATAGTCACAACGGATTGATATGACAAGTCTCTTTCTTGTCCTTCAATTTGTATATTGTTAGAACAATTTGTGTTATTTTAGTAAAATTAGGCTTATATGATATTGTATATTAACAACACTTTCAATATAAAAATCATATTGAAAGACACTATAAAGCTTATGCTTTCCAAACACATGAATAAGTCTGAGAAAGTTATTTAAGAGAGATAGTGGCCGTTGTTGTTGTTTTTTTTTTTTTTTTGCATTTTTTCAAGAAAAACAAGAAGGAAGAAGAAATTTGCTATTAAAATTACTTAAAAACAATAAAAGTAAAACTTAGAGAAATTAAGTAAACCAAAAGATACTAAAACTTACATAATTCAGCTATTTGCTTATGTTCACATAATAAATTTTTTTTTTATTATTAAAAAATTAAAATATAATAAAATCTCTTAATAATTTCTAAAACCAACTCAAAGATCCTTTGTATTCAATGGCCTTATAAGAGTACATTTTTTTTCCTCATCCAAAGATAATATATTGATATCATTGAAAAAGTACAGTGAGAGACTTAATAACGTTTTGACATGGAACCGAGAGGTTAGCCACAGGGAACTGAAAATAAAGTGGTGTAATACCAACAGAGTATGTCACCAAAGATACATGCACATAGGTTATTTATTATTAGATAAGTTGAGTTTGGAAGGGCTTGAAGCAAAAGCTGCTATCAGTATGGTTTCTCCCCGCCGAAGTTGCCTGGAGGATCATAGTTGCAACCAATGAAAGTTCCACCATTGCTGCACCTCACCTTAGCACACCCGAGATGAACCGAGTTGCACCAAACCACCTGAGTGTAATGCCCGCAAACCCTGTCTGTTGCACAAGTGTTAGTGTCGTAATCATAGTAGACCTTCTCATCAACCCACAGTCTTACGGCGTGTTGCAATGTTCTCTCCATAAGGTCCAGTGGAGCGCTCGAGGTTGCAGTCACCAATGCGCTGATTAGCGTAGTCTTGTGCATAGGCAGCTACGGTGTCGTTCCAAGTCATGGGGCCAACACCGACCACTTTGCGAGCTGTGTTGTGGGCGTCGAGGAAGTCTTGAGGGGTGTCTTGGGCATGGAAGGGGAGGACCAAGGCTAATGCCATGAGACAAGAAAGTGCTAGGGAAACCTTAGAAAATTCCATGGTTTTGTACATAGCTATAATGCAATGCAAATATGTTTGAGCAATTGATGGGAAATGAACATGTGTTTGATGGGTATTTATAGCCAATATATGGTGTAAAATATTCAATCAGTTAGGCAATTGAAATGTTCAAACAATGCATACGTTTCAAGATTTCTTCTTTAATTATTTGTAAGTTTTCCCTGGAATAAAACCAATAATAGATGTAGTTGTTGCAAACGGTACTTAGATTATAATTGCCTCTCTTTTTCAATCCGAAAAACAATGACAAAGGAAAAAAAAGGCTTGAAAGTGATTTATCAGTTGATTATTAATTACTCATCCCGGTTAACCTTCTAGTTAACCAAAAATTAATTTTAAATGGAATGTTCGAAACCATAATACCTATGTGTCCAAATCTTCCTCTGAATTCAATTACTTTCCGTTGCCTAATACATTGAACTTCCTATATTTCATGTTTCTTATTGTTCATGATGTAAAATTCCTTATTTTATGGCCATTGGCAAAAGGCATATTTGCATATTCCCTTGTGGAAAATGATGTTCTCCTAATTGATTGTCATGGTTGCTCTTCCCCACCTCTCCCTTTATGATACTAATGGCATGATGTCAATCCTTAAGGTTTTCAAATGGAAAAGCAAAGTGTTTCACCACGCCCCTTGAAGGCCACTACTAACTTTGAACGATGGTTTTTGATCATAAAGGATGTATATATGTATGTTTTCTTGTGTTAAAAAAGCCTTTAGGCATTGGGTGGTTAGACTTTACGATTTTATCACATATTACCAAGAAAGAATTTAATTATTTCAAGTAAATTGTTCCTTAATCTAGATCTTAATTTGTAATATATAATGTTCCACTAGGAAACATAGTCAGAAAGAATTGTCATGACAAGTCTCTTTCTTGTCCTTTACATTGTTTATTTTTAGAACAAATTGTGTTACTTTAGTAAAATTAAGACCTTATTCACAATGGATTGTTATAATGAAGTCTCTCTTTCTTGCCCTCCAATTTGTATGTTGTTAGAACAAATTGTGTTACTTTAGTAAAATTAGGCATATATGATATTGTATATTAATTCACAACACTTTCAATATAAAATTCATATGAAAAGAACTTCATTTTATGCTTGCCAAATTCTTGAATAAGTCTAGGGAAGTTTTTTAGGAGAAATAATAAACCAAAAGACGCTAAAATTTATGTGTTCGGTTCGTCGTTTCTATTCATAAAGTAAAACAATTATTCTATTATTAAAAAATAAAATAAAATCATTCTGTAATTTCTAAAACGAACCCAAAATCTTTTATACACCATCTCAGTTTTGGATTCTGAGCCACTCTGCCAGAACACCCAGCCCAAGGATTGAGAGGATTCATAAGGAGCCCAGCTATCTGAGTCCCACCCAGCCGAAACAAAGTTAATTAAAGTAACACTTTTGGGAGTCTTGACTCCCCATGGAAAAAGCAAGTTTAATACCAGTAGAAGTCTAAGTCTTCCTCAAATGGAGAGCAAAAGGCATAACCATGTCGTCCCAGATTGACCAAAAACATTCCATAGTTCACATAGCAACATACTACGATGAAATAAGATCCAGTGCGAGAGCGTGTTCCATGCTTGTGATTGCATGTTGCACGTTGTGTCGTATGCAAAAACCTGACCACTTGCCTTGTCGACAGTCTGATGGAATCAATCCGTACCGAAAGAGAGGTGAGGAACAATTCATGTTTTTGTCTCCTTCTTTTGGTTGTGAAAGGAATAATAATCAATGGTCCCTTTTGGATTTTCTCCGTTGGCAATTGGCAATAAATTCCAACAGGGGTTTGAAACTATAGTAGTAATTATAAGAGGAAATTGTAGTCTAAATTCTAACCCATACTTCTGTCTTCTTCATAGCTTCCTTTATAGTATAGTTTCAACACCGGAATAATAACAATAACGATGAGATAACAATGAGATTGATAGTTTAATCATAAAATAAAATCGATTCAGTAAAAAACAATCATAATGATAAGGATATATATTTTTGCAAGCCAAAACATAAATACCTTTTTTCTTTTAAAAAATTAAATTATAAACATAATTGACTCACATAACTTTTTCATATACTCTTTAGAAAGTTTTGAAAATTTATCATATTTATAATATTGTTATTAAAACTCTGGATTCATAGAACTGGTCACATTATTAAAAAAAAAACTCTTAAATATAAAAAAATAAGACCTGTGAACAAAGTTGCACTATATCTTATAGTTTAAATCATCAACAAACACCCAATCAACACTGACTTATCGCTCTCATTTTTGCAAGACTATCAGCAAAATAGTTTGCTTCTCTGAACATATAATTTTTAGTTATCTCAGTCTTTATTTTTTGAACAATTTAAGTTGTTATCAAGTTTCTTTTGGTCAATATGTTAACTCATGATCTCTCCTGAACGCTGGCCTTGTAGAATTGTGAGACACCTGGGTAGCTAATTATCAGTTATACCATATTAATTCTTAGGCCGCCACCATTAGCTGCATGCATACATGCTTATGAATACCATTCAAAAGAGACCCATCAAAAGGGAGAAAGAAAACAAACAAACAAACTATTCAAAACAGATAGTTGATCATCTTTCATTCGATCAGCAGCCATAGTTAAATCATAGAATGAAACTCGTAATATTTCATTTCCTTCATAATTATCTGCCATGAAGCAGCTAGGGCTGATTACATAGCTTATTTGTTATAAGTTGACTTCGGAAGGGTTTAAAGCAAAAGATGTTATCAGTAAGGTTTCTGCCCGACGAAGTTGCCTGGAGGGTCATAGTTGCAACCGATGAAAGTTCCACCATTGCTGCACCTCACCTTAGCACAACCGAGACGAACCGAGTTGCGCCAAACCACCTGAGTGTAATGCCCGCAAACCTTGCCCTGTGCACAAGTGTTAGAGGCGTAATCATAGTTGGCCTTCTCATCAACCCACATTCTCACGGCGTCGGTTCCCGAAAGGTCACCGGTGCTCATTGCAAGGTTCTCGCCATAAGGTCCACCGGAGTGCACAAGGTTGCAGTCGCCAATGTGCTGATTGGCATAGTTTTGTGCAAAGGCAGCTACGTTGTTGTCCCAAATCATGGAGCCAACACCGACCGCTGCACGAGCCGTGTTGTGAGCATTGAGGTAGTCTTGACCGGAGTTTTGGGCAAGGGAGGGGAGGACCAAGGCTAAGGCCATGAGACTAGGAAGAGCTAGGAAAACCTTGGAAAACTCCATCATGGTTTTGACAATATCTATAATGCTATGCAAATATGTTTAAGCGATTGATGGGAAATGAACAAGTGTCTGAGGGGTATTTATAGCCAATACATGGTGGAAAATATTCGATCAAATTAGCAGGTGAATGTTCAAACAATGCTTACTTTTCAAGATTTCATCTTTATTTACAATTATCTCTGGCATCATGAAGTCATCTGCCAGAATCACACCGCTAGAGACTTCACCAGTGCATGGACTCACCCTCGTTTATGATCAATGAAATTCCTACCTTTAAAAAAAAAAAAAATCAATGACACATGGATGTTGCTTTCAGGTAATTCGTAATTTAAGGGTATTTATATTTAAAAAATCTTTGGAGGTTATTTTATAAATGTTGATTATTGCTTGTTTCGGTTAACCTTCTAGTTAATCAAAAATCAATTTAAGTCGGAATATTCAAATCCATAATACTTATCAGTCCAAATCTTCTTCCCAATTAAAGAACTTTCCCCTAGATTGGAAATAAATGATAATAAACTGCCTTCAAGGAAGTCGACGGATCTAAAAAGTTTTATGTTTGGTGGTAATTAATATGTACTGAGAATATTGTATTTATCTTTAAGGTATATATTTGCAGTTAACTCTTTGGACGAAACATTATATACAATTGTACTGGTTCTTGGTATTAATAATTACTCTATTTAAAAATGAATAGATCTACTGTTCATGCAACCTGCCTAAATACCAATCAGTATAATTGTTTCCTCTTATTTTATAATCCATAGTCTTCACCATTGAACACGTATGTTCTCTAAGTGCATTATAAGATTTTATGAACCAAAATTGCAAAATAAGATAGACACGGGGCATCTTGTACACCCAAAGCAAATACACCTACGAAACGTATCAACAAGTTTGATTCATTAATAGCAATAGAAAACTGTTAAAATTCCATATTGTATGGCCCATTGCCTAAAAAGCAGAATTCCATATTCCCCTTGTGGAAAATGATGGATGCTTCTCTTACTTAATTATCATGGTTGCTCTTCTTCTTCTTCTTCTTCTTCTTCTTCTGCTTTATGATATAATGGCACGATATCAATCCCTAGGATTTTCAAAGCGAAAAGCATAATGTTGCGCTACGTCAAGGATACTACTTTGAAAGAAAACCCTTTTGAAATTAAACGACTTGATTGCCTTGCTTTGCATGGAATCATCCGTTAATTAGGCAATCACATTTTTTATTTTGAAGTTAATTATCTTGTGTTCAGCATAACAAAATTCTACTTTGGCCTTGCAGAAAAAACATGTTGCCGTCTAGCTTGGGAATGTAGCGTAAGCACGCAAAAAGTAACGTGTTGGAAAAAAACCTAGAGGCCTAGACTCCAACGAACGGTTTGTGAGTTTGCTTGACTTTCCAGGCCAGTGGACAACTCTGGTGTGCCAATTTAACTTCCACCTAGTGAAATTTCCGTAGATATTTTGGACTTTTTTTGAAATAACAGGTATATAAATATTAAAAAAATCCCTTCATCTGTTTTTCAATTTATTTTATATTAAATATTCATTTTGAAAAAATTTAATATGATACGAGAACAAACATTGTTCTCGTTTATTTATTCTTTCATAAAATCATTTTTTGATTCATCACATTGTTACTTTTCTTCTTGTCGACTCAATAGCATTGACTATTCCTTTTCTATAGTCATTTTCATACCATTTAATTTATTATCCGCCAACACTTTCGTTTCACTTATTTATGCAAGTAACAATTTTGTTACTCCCATTCATCATCTTATTTATGAAATTGATTATAATTCATTTGGCCAACGGTCATAAATTGATTTTTTTTGTTAAACAAAACTCAATTATAAATTGACAAATCTTTTCTTTTGTTAATTTTTAAATCAATTGATCATAAAAATAAAGAGATTCTCGTTAAACTTATATATCCAGGATACTCTCAACTTATTAAATATAAGATTTCCTAAAATAAGAGAGGAGAGGCAGAATCTATTTTGATACCATGTTGCATTGTTTAAGTCGGACTTCCAACCTAAAACCAATTGATTATAAACGGAAAAACTATTGTTATATTTATATGTCCAGGATACTTCAATCATAATATTTTTTATCACTAATTTAATACTTTTAAATTTTACTAAGAATTTTAAAATAAAATTGTTGATACTCTTGGATCCAAAAAACTTTTTACTTTTCCACATGAGGGTCACCATCGCTAGTCGTCAATTACGGGAAATAGACAGATTGATCCCCTTTTTCTTTTTATGGATCAGGACAGATTGATCTTAAACTTAGAGGAACCCATGTGTGGAAAGTGGAAACGTATACGTTGTAAATTTGCCCTGGTCCAAAAAAATCGTTAAGAGTCCCTCGGGACTCTTGATGGCTATGTTAGGCATGTATACAAAGAAAATTTTTATGGTCAATGCAGTAGCCTTACTTAGAGTCTAAACTTAAAGATGATCTTACTCTATCCTGAGAAGATATTAAGAGTTTGATATTTGGAACTTGAACAGGTACATGAATCTTAACATAAAGTGAATTGTCAATATTGTCATGGACAAATGGACATTTACCCTGTATTGGAGTCAAGTTTTATGTTATTTTATTTGCCATTTCAACGATTTTTTCTCTTCATAGTTTCCTTTAGGATCGATCTATACCCAAATCCAGAGTTTAATTTCTCTACAATTCTTAAGGAGAATTGTAAACGGGGTTGTTGGATTGATGGAATGGTTTTGTGAGGCGGATGGGCACTCAAATGATAGGGGTGTGCTTCAAGGATTGAATGTTTGATACTTGGTGATGAAATTGGTGGCTGCTCCATATTTGTTTTTTTTTTTGCAGTGTTATAGAGTTTCCTGGTGTTTGCTGGATTTTTTTCTTGGCTGCTTAGTTGCTCGATTTTTGACAGTTAGATATTTCTTTTAAGGATAGTCTTTTTTGACTGCTTTTTTTGGTATTTTCCCTATTTTCATTGAGATTGTTCTACCTTTAAGAGTTTTAGTTTATTTATGAATTGTTCAAAACTCACGTTTTGTTTCAATATCACGAGAGAAATATTTCTTTTTGTGTAACTTAATTTATATTTATAAATGTAAATTGGATCTATCTTCTAGAATATAGACCAAAATAACAAAAGCCAAAGTCTCTTCTTGGATGAATCAAATAGTAGCATCTTTCCTTTCAATGTGTTCTCCAATCAAAACATATTAACCTTTTATTGTATGAATGAGTCAAAAACTACTCAATTAGTAAGGACGTTCTCCCACATAGTTCCCTGGAGGATCATAGTTGCATGTCACAAACCACCAGCCACTGTTGCACTTAACTCTAGCACACCCAAGTCGAGTCGAGTTTCGCCAAACCACCTGAGTGTAATGCAAGCACTGTCCCCCAACACATATGTTGGCATCGTAGTTGTAGTAAGGCTTCTCATCGACCCACATTTGCACCGCTTCCGCGCCTGTCAAGGCGTAGGAGGCTTCCGCAAGGTTTTCACCGTAGGGTCCGTCCGAATGAACCAGGCCGCAGTCTGCAACCCTTTTGTTAGCGTAATCCTGCGCGTAGGCCGCAACCTTGGCGTCCCAAGTCATCGGCCCGACCCCAACCTGTGCACGAGCTGCATCGTGGACTCTAAGGTAGTCTTGAGGGGAGTTCTGGCCGAGGGAAACGTGAGCTAGAGTTGAAGCTAATAGGCAAGTTGCTAATGAAAATTTGGTTAATCCCATTTTCCTGTCTTCGGAAAAGGCATAGGTTTATTGCAATTTTACATGTTGGTTTATATAGAAATACATTCATAATTATCTGAGTTGTTACATTCCATAAAAGAATGAACACTATCAGACAGGTTTAATTAACTTTCCAATGTATAACTTACCATATATTGATCATGTATCAGATTTTTTTCTCTTTTCCCCTATTTGTTTCCATATATTGAATATTTACTACCAAAAAGAGGAACCTTAATTAATTATAGTATCAGGAAAGATAGTGACACCTTGCTACCTAATAAGCATTGATTTTCTTTAATCTGTGAAGATGAAATTAGTTAGTGATGACTTGGTCAATGAACATTGAATTAATGTATTAAAAAGTATAATCTACCATGGCTAAGATACAATCTAACCAATTGCAACATAGAAAACATTTGTTCTCTGAAAAGTGCCAGATCCAAATTTCAGAACTCCACTCCCTCCACTTATGCAATCACAAAATTTGAGAAAAAAAAATGAAAAAGAGAGAAGCCACAAGCAATCCACCATCAACTCCAACTGCAAAACGTTAAACAACCATATAGTTTTAGTGGCTGATGGTGGTGATATTGTCAGTACTTTCTCCTATCCCATGTGCAAAAGGGACCAAGGAGGGATGAATAAAGCGTACATGAATCTGACATTTGTGTCATTTCTTCGCCCTCCATTGCCAATGATCCTTCTTCATTTGTTATCCAACGACAGCATCATAAATATTTTTGCTTGCGTTTTTCCATACATGTGGAGACCACAAACCCCATGCCTTTGCTCACATCTCCTAAGTTCTTTTTCTCTGCTTTAATTTTCCCTCGTCTCACAAATAAAATTAATGTTGAATCCCATTAGGTATGGGCTACAAGCTAGCATAAATTTCGTATTATTTTGAAGAAAATAAAAAATTAAATTTTTTATTTTCTTCAAAATAATATCTTATTAACGAAGTATTAAAATTTGGTAATATGATCGTATATATTGTCAGTGTATTAAATATTAATTTTTAAAGTTTTGTTAAAGTTTTTAATTAAAAACGAAATGTTAAAAGTTAAGAATTTCAAGGGTTTGCTGCATGTACACCGTCTCTTTGGAAAGGGGTAGGTAGGTTCGTCTTGTTGCTAGCTCGGGGGATTGCTGTAATGTCATACTGCCTCTGCAGTTGCAGCAGACTCGAGTCGATATTTCGTGCATTTTTTTCAATTAGGAATGACAACTGTTGAAAAAAAATGAAGAGGACAGAGAAGAAAGCACAACAGCTATGGCATGTATATATATATTAATTTATGCTTCTCTGTAACATACAAAGAAAGAGAATTAAACACAGCAGAGATCATTTCGAGGCGAGAAAAGCAGAACACTGATGTGGTTAATAAGGGCGTTGGCCCTCAATGTTTCCAACAGGATCATAGCTGCAAATAACAAAAACCCAACCATTCTCACACTTGGCTCTGCCGCACCCAAGGTGAACCGATTTGCGCCAAACAACCTGAGTATAGTGCAGGCAGTCATCACCACCGCTATTGCACGAGTTGGAGGCGTAGTTATAGTCAGGCTTCTCGCTAGCCCACATTTTCACGGCGTCGACGCCGTAGAGGTTGCCATAGCCTTCAGCGAGATTCTCACCGTAGGGTCCATACGAATGCTCCAGGTTGCAGTCCCCAGCCCTTTTGTTGGCGTAATTTTGGGCGTAAGCCGCCACGGTGTGGTTCCAGACTAGCGGACCAACCCCGACCTTGGCACGAATCGCATTGTGTGCGCTCACCAAGTCTAGGGGGGAATTTTGGGCTAGGGAGAAGGGAACTAGCGTCAGGGTCATGAAGCATGTGGCTAAGAAAGGCTTGGTGACCCACATTTTCACCATGTATGCAAGGCAAAGAAACAGATCAAAGTAAGTTTGTGTTATGTTTTTTGATGTAATGAACTGGTGGCTTAGGGGGGTATTTATAGGCAATTCCATGGAAGGTATAGCTTAAAAGGAAGCTAAGAAAACATGGATGTGCCCAACAAATCTCGCCGAAATCAGGTCATAAAAGAATAATTAAGAAGAGAAAAGACGAAGCAAACTGAGTTTTCCAAAAAATTAAAATATAAATCAGAATTCACATGCATTCCGTAGGAACAGTTAGCATTTTGTCCACTTTAGGACGAATTGCTTTACTAGAGCAAATTAACTGAAAAATCTCTTGCGTACGTTTAAACCTATTATTTGGCTAATTGCTGCTTTTCAATCCAAAATCTTTTAGCTAGGATTCGAATTTTATTTATGATCAAAATTGTAATAATCTAACTACTCATCAACAACAATTCCTATTGACAAAAAATGTCATTTTACGCAAATTCATTTGCAGTTCAAGAATAGTTAAGATTCGGATTAAGTAAATTCCATATCAATGTCGTTAGAATACATGCGCTTTAGTTCAGTATTTTTCCTTACCTAGAACTAGGCCTTCAAATCTCCTTTATCTAAATCTTCAAGTGACCATGACATTTTAAAGGAAAAGCTCAAGAAAAATAATAAATAAATAAATAAATAAAACAGGTCAAAAATCTCAGGCCCCTCTGGGCCTCTTTTGTCACCCTTTCTTATTGTGTAATCACGTGAACACATTTCATTATCTTCCTGTACAAAGTTATAGCAATCGAAGGAAAACGATCTGATTGTTAAATAAAGTTCTATGCTGGTACAAAACAAAAGCAGAGATAAAGGTTCAAGAACTCTAATGTTTGGTAGCATGTTGAACAAGCAAGTGATGACAGACACACTCATATGATGATTTAGACCCTACATTTCACGGATGAACATAAGAGATTTCTTTGTTGGATGATGACTTTCTTTACACATGCATATATATGAACATGGGTTTTCAACTGGAAAAGATTCATGCAAAATGAGATGCTGATTATGAGCATATGTAATTATATATGTTGAGCTGCACAAACAAATATAATATTTTCTTCTGAAAAACATAGATTAATTGATTAATAATCAATGGTAAAATGAGTGTTGATTTGAATCCGCTGTCATTGTACTCGTTCATCTTCTAGCTAATGAATGTAACTTTATTTCGTTAAAAGCTACCACTCACCTTATCAGCAATGGCTATAAAGAAAATAAATATATATCTATATATAGGCAATTAGCAGCATGTGATAAAGTGAGAGGTACGAGCACGAAGATAAAGCAAAGACTAGAAACATGCATTAAGTAGTTTTAATCAATAAATTAAGCAAGTATTGACATGTCATTACGGAATTAACGCCTATAAGATGGAGATGCCCGGTTTTCTGATTTCTCTATTTCAACGACAGAAAGCCAAGGTTGATTCAGTAAAGTTTACCTTTTGACTTGATGGAAAAACGAGAAGTTCTCATATGACGCCGCAGTTTGATGCATGAAACCCGGGATACACTCCTTTACAAGCAATTGCCACAGCATGTGCATTGCAATCAGTACTATGTATTTTCTAATATGTAAAATTGGGCTTCTAAAAGGTTAACAGGCTCCCACGCTTTAGACTTTGCCTCGAGTGGTCGTTGAAGATTGGCCCATTAAGCTCTCTTAAAGCCCAATCCTTCCACTGATTTTCATTTGTTGACCTTGTTTTCTGTTGATAAGTCATTCATTTTATTCATTATCAAAGCATTACAGCCGAGGACATGACTTTCCTCTGCTGCATTAACAGCAGCAAAACGCCTTACAGCACCCAAGTTCAATCTACAGGGCTCTCCCATGTCAAACCTGATACAGATAACAGTGTAAACTTCACGTTCCTCCTGACAAATTGATCATCCATTTACAACCTCATTCCAGGCTCCTATAACTACATACATCATAATACTTAAAAAAAAATCTATTAAAAAAGATATCAGCATAGCATTACAATAGTTGCAGTTCACTGCCTAGAAGTCTTCCTTTCGTTTGTTTACTAGTAATAGGAAATGGGTTAGTAATAAGTATTCTTCTTTGTTTGGAGAAAGTGTTTTATAATGAGTTCCTTGTTTCCAAGTCTTCCACTCTTTTTTTGTTTTATCTTATGATGAATTTCCTTTCTTCTTTTTATTTCAATAAGTACTCAATAAATAAGTTTGATTGATCTCCATTCCCGGTTGAAATTCAAGAAAAAAGAGAATTCATAAGCAATCAAGATTGTAATCAAGTATATAATCCCATAAAATTTTCTCATTTCATAATTGAAATTCATAAAAGATCAACGAATGATCAATATCAGGTCAAATAATTACTTGTATTTGTTAAGAATAACTTAGATGTCTTGAAATTTTGAAAATTAAAAGATATTATGACCGAAAAAATCATGAAATGTCAAAAGCAAAAGGAGAAAATCAGTGGATAATTAATTTCAGGAATTGAAGTTAGAAATCTTGCAGAATCAGCTGCAGATCATCTACTTTTGTCTCCTTTTTCTTGGCCTCATGACTCTCTTTCTTCAATTTCATGTTCTCTCTTAATTCTGTATCCAAAGAAATGGTCTAATTACTTATTATTAAGGGTTTGCCTTTTTATAGAAATTAGGGGATTCTTCACTACAATCAAGGTAACTTTTCCAACAACCAAGTGATTAACCAGTCAAGATAATGAGCAATGTTCTAAAAATACTGACAATGAGAGGAATATAACCAGTCAAGATAATGAACAATGTTCTAAAAATACTGACAATGAGAGGAATAAATAATGTTATGATGAAAATTTACTGATATGAACACCATAAAGCAATTGATTATAAAAATTTTAAGAAATTGAATAATTCATAATAATAACTCAGAAATGTTAACATACAGTAAAAGATCAAATTGAATAAAAGAAATCAGACTTTTAATGATAAAAATCGGATTGGCACCACTATAGCAACCCAGAAAGCAAAACATACCTTCAGTAAAGACAGTAATGCACTCTTTTAGTGGCATGAATTCCGACTGCAGAATCTCCAATTTTCCTGATTTTAAGTGATTTTTTTTTTTTATGTTTCAGATTCTCTGCTTGAATTGGAATATAAACTACTTTGATGCTCTTACAATTAATGTACTCATTCAGTGTCCCAAAAGTTAAACATGATGATGGCTTATCTTACTAAGTTTCTGCAATTTTAGCCACA